ACTTTTTGGGTTTAGTTTAATTATTACAGATCAAATTACTATTTACCGTATTTTCCGCACTATAAGGCGCACCGGATTATAAGGCGCACCTTCAATGAATGGCCTATTTTAGAACTGTTTTCATATATAGGGCGCACCGGATTATAAGGCGCATAGAATAGAAGATACTGCAGTCAAACGTTTGACTGGGGTTGCGTTATGCATCCACTAGATGGAGCTGTGCTAAAGGGAATGTCAACAAAACAGTCAGATAAAGTCAAACTTTATTAAGCGTTCTGACAACTCCGTTCACTCCCATGGTAACGATGTTCAAACGTTAATGTGCATATTCACAATATCTCTCAGCCTTGTTCAGTTGTAAACACGTAAAAGAAACACAGTCTGATACCGCTAATTCAAACGTTAGTGCATAACTCAACATTGTTCAGTTACGTATAACACGTAAAGCTCACTTTTTCAGTTCATTCCCCGTCCACGAATCCCTCGAATTCTTCTTCTTCAGTGTCCGAATTGAACAGTTGGGCGAGTACGGCATCCAACATGCCCGGCTCCCTCTCGTCATTATCCGAGTCAGTGTCGCTGAGCGCCGTGTACAACCAGTATGGATCAACCAATTAACCAATTGATCCATATATAAGGCGCTCCGGATTATAAGGCGCACTGTCGTTTTTTGAGAAAATTAAAGGCTTTTAAGTGCGCCTTATAGTGCGGAAAATACGGTACATGGACACACAGACTTTTTGGGTTTAGTTTAATTATTACAGTTAAAATTACTATTTAGTTAGATCAACCTTGCAGTTCCCCCTAGCTCTCCTGACATTCAACTCATTTTAAGTGCTTTGTTTTTGCTTTATGGTAAATTCCTTTGATCTGCTCTGAAATCTGACTCTATACAAACTGCTAGTTCTGCTTGTAGCGTCCTCAAAACTCCCCTTAGATTACATGAATCAAGACACATGAATCAAGTTTTACAAGTCGAGATGAAAAATAAAGAAGACCAGACTTGCTTTGAAATCAATATTTAGTCTGACTGTAAGTTATCGAAACCAGTAAAAATATGAAGCACTTTGAAGATTTGCTTTCTTGCACGGACTTAGCTCTTAATAGGCTTCTCTGTTTTCTACCTTTCCTTTTTGGATCTGTGTGTGTCTGTCTGTCTCTGACTCCTTTCGTTTCTTTCTGACCACCTGCAGGGCAGACACTGAGGCTGAGCTGGATTTGGTCTGCAGCGTGGCTAAAGCTGCTGGAGCCTTCGATGCTGTGCGCTGCTCTCACTGGGCTGAAGGTGGAGCGGGGGCAGTGGCTCTGGGTCAGGCTGTTCAGAAGGCCTCTGAGGCTCCCAGCAATTTCAAGTTCCTCTATAATTTGGAGGTAAGGAACATGTTTTTACTTGTGTAGTTCATTAGGTATGTCAAAATAGTTTAGATTAAGTATGTTACTGAATCTATTAGATAAAGATTTATTGATGTAATTTTTTTGTCTGTAAAGGGAAAAAAAGCAAGATGCACTAAAGATAATTAACACCTAAGAAATGTCCTGATAAACATGCCTTCAGTCTATTTTTCTAACTCCTCTCTAGCTCCCTATTGCTGATAAGATTCGAATAATCGCCCAGAAGATCTATGGAGCGGATGACATTGAGCTTCTGCCAGAGGCTCAACACAAGGTGGAGCTCTACACCAAACAGGTCAGCACCTCTCCAAGTCCGCTGGTTTTCGCCGTTTGTCCGAGTCGTCAGGCCTGATTGTTGGCTGCTGCAACAGAATCATCATAACTGGAATGAGAAAGCTTGAATATGCCGTAGTTAAACATCCAACAAAACTTTCTGTGTCCTCACTTCTCCCCTCAGGGTTTTAGCAATCTGCCAATGTGCATGGCGAAGACTCACCTGTCGCTCTCTCACGAGGCCGACAAGAAGGGTGTGCCCACAGGCTTCATCCTGCCAATCAGAGACATCCGAGCCAGCGTCGGCGCTGGCTTTCTGTTCCCACTGGTTGGCACGGTATGTTTTCGTTCATGTTGATCCAACATTGCCTTCTCTGTCAACAGTATGTCATTTCCACAGCTTCACACAAATGCAACTCCAAACTGCGTGACAATGTTCACAACCGGATTTTCTACATTTATCTGTCTATCATAAAATTATATTTGTATCCCATTCAAAGAAACAGAGCATGTTTCTTTACTGAACTCTTGTAATCTTTCTAATCAAATACAAAGAAAACATAACATGATATATTTTGAGCTGAAAAAACACAGCTGTGAGACGGTGTGCTACAACACGCAGGGGCAAATTCACAGAAATGAAAGGGATGGACTTCAGCACTAACTGCTTACGGACTACAGATGTAAACTAGCACACTTAACTCTGCATGTTTACATGTCCCATTTTTATACTGATATTCATCAATGTGCTCTGTTTGATTGATTGAAATCTTTATTTCGAGTGTGCGTGCATGCGTGCGTGCGTGCGTGCGTGCGTGCTTTTTTTTCCCAAGATAAAAAAAAAACTAATCAAAACAGATCTAAGAAAGAAAATTGCATAAGACAACAGAAATTTCTAATTTCATGTTCGAAAAGGAGTGGGTAAAAGTGTGAATTTATATAATCCCACCCCTCTCCATTAATCTTTAGTTAATAAATGTATTTATGATTAAATAAGTAATAAATCTGTAATATTATATATACTTCCTTAAAAAGAAATAAACAAGTACATAAAAAGTATCATCAGTTGCACTTGGGAGTGTTTCACGCTTTGTCTTCAGGTCTGATTCATGAAGGGTGTGCCTGAATGTGCTATTGTTCAACCAAGTCCATTACCTGGATGATTGGATATGGTTATTTAATTTCTAATTATATTACCTTTTTTATACAAAGTTTTTTATTGACTGTGTAAAACATAGTCTCTGTTTTTTTCCCTCCTAGATGCCAACGATCCCTGGGCTGCCCACCAGGCCTTGTTTCTATGACATCGACCTGGACCCTGAGACTGAACAAGTCAACGGGCTCTTCTGAAGCAGGACTCTCCTGTACGAAGCTAAGGAAGGTAATTAAGATGAACGCACACTAGAGTTGGTATGATGAGGCCAAAGATGCACTATTTGGAATGCTAGTCATAACTTTGATACAATATCTTTTTTTATGTGGCCCCCATCATCCCCCAAAACAATGCACTTTTTTTCTCTAAAGCTGAGAAAAAAAAAAAGAAAACATCATGTCTGCTACTAATGACTGGTTTAGAGTACAATCAGAACAAAAAATAATGGAAACAGTTAGGAACAGTGGGCTGCTAGTAGAGAGTCTAACATGAGTCACAGCTAGAAAAATGTCCCCCTGTACCATCTTCAGTCAAATAAAATTGATAAAGCAAACACTGGATGTAGCAGGTTAAAAGTCTCAGCCTGTTTTTTAAAATTAAGGATTCCTTCAATGTAGTGAGCCAGGCCATACAGCAGTTATAACTGTCATACCCATATCCCAACATGAGCTTACATCTCATAATGATATTTAGTGCTTTATTCACTGCACTAGTAATGGATGTACTCAGTATGTGTAAATAAAAACTTAACGTATGGAAAAGTACTGGAACATCTCTTACTCACACTAAACTCTTATGTTAGCAGGGATGGAAGACAACTGTCAGTTTATTAATAGTTACCGTTGTTCTTTGTTTTTTCCCCCCAGCACTGAAACATCACGGTCTAATAACTGGAAAAGAGCTTGTCTGCTGGTTCTGTTCGTAGCTTTTTCAATCAAACCCCGACATCTGTAAATAATTGATCTGCTTGCCCACATTGCTCCTGTTAGGAAAATAAATAATATGATTCACAGCAGAGTTTAGCACCTTGAGTCTGTGATAGTTTGCAAGTGGGAAACCTCCTTTTTTAAAAAAACATTTCACTTACATCACTTGCTGCACAGGTAATCTCAACGGTCTAGACGGTTTAACATCTGACACATCTGGAGTCTTGTTTTCATTTTCTGTTTATTTTCTGTGTGCACTAAAACAAGATAATCTCCTTTAACATGCTGTCTGTATTAGTCTACTGAATTTGATGTGCAAACAAAAAAAACAACTGAACCTAAAAGTACGGCCACCTTATGAAATATTTTTATGACATTTTATTTTCAGTCCATATGATGACTTTGAACCTTTAGTCTGTCCTGTGTCCTAACGTAATATTAACGCTGTCTAACATTAATAAAGCTTCGTCAAACCCAACTGTCATGACGCTGTAAAACAATGGTTTCCATTTTGTTGTCAGAAGAAATCAAATAAAGTGTTCAACAAGAAAAGCCACACAGGAGACTTTTTTTTTTTTAAATTGGACTAAAGTGTTTCAGTGTTTTTAAAATATTTTATTCAGTAAAATCTTGTAAATACAACACTTGTATAACACTATTCTGTTTACTTTATACTTAATTAATCCAAATGTATTCATTTAATTTGATCATTAAACAGTAATCTGTTAGTTATTGGTAGAGGAGCAGATCCCAGCTAACATTGTGTCTCAGGAGTCAGGTACATCCTGAATGTTTTCTTTCATTTGACTTAACGACTTGTAGCCTTCACACACCCTTGGCTGTGTTTTTTAAAGATATATTTTGGGGCTTTTTATGCCTTTTTATTAGAGAGATAGGACAGTGGATAGATTCGGAGATTGGAGAGAGAGACAGAGAGTGGGGAACGACAGACCAGGAGAGGAGACTTGTTATTGCAGACTTATAATCCAACAGCATTTTATTTCAACACTTTAATGATTCAACTCAGAGACCGGTCAAAATATTTGCCACATGATGTGCTTGTCATGGCTGAATATTCACATCTAACCCACACGATCATACTTCACTCTATTTGTTGATATGGAGTCTTCTAATGAAGCTCTGTCCACATGAAGAAACAATCCACCAGTCTTGCTTTGTATTGAGTTTAGTTTATTACAGATGGGTTTATTCTTTACCATCCTCACAGGAGTTTTCATTTATGAAATTCTCATCATTTATTTAACTACATCCATGGCCACCACCACCACCACCACCACCGTCACGGCCGCGGCTTCTACAGCCGCCACCACCACCACCACCACCACCACCACCACGGCGGCCACCACCACCACCGTCCCTGTCTCTTCCTTTCCCACATTTCCCTCCGCGCCTTTTTCGTCTTCTATTCTGTAAACCAACAGATGAAAAATGATCAGCACATTTAAAAAAAAAACAAAAAAAAACACTGAATCTTGGGATGTATAGTTTTAATCAAAGATGATTTAAAACGCGTACCGTTTTACGCCGTCCTCCTTCCTGTAAAACAATAAAAGATAAATATTCACACAACGGGACTGTAGAGCGATTGAATTTAGTTAAAAAAACAGAAAGTAGCTGAAAGTTGACTTACTCCGTCTGACTCGGTGTCCGTTTCAGAGCCGTCGTCGTCCCCTGAGCCGCTTCTCCCGCCCTTGTGATGTGAATGAAACCGCTTAATAAGTTACCATGTTCTGTTTGATTTTGGTGTTTTACGATTATGTCGTGTTGTGTGTCACTCACCTTATCACAGCCTGTGATGGAATGACAAAAAAAAAAAAAAAGATTCAAATTAACAGCTGAAAATTGACAGATTTTTTTTTATAATTTAGTTCTAACAATCATCACAACCATCACCATCAGCACCATGGTTACCATCTTTCCCTTTCCGGTCGTCTTTCATTCCTCTACATCCCCCTTTTTGGCCCCTTCGTCTTCGTCTCCTCCCCTCCTGTGAAACAAACACATGAAGGATGATTGGCACGACTTCTTAAAAACACAAAGCTTCAGGCTGCATACTTTAAATTCAAAAAAATTTTAAACTCCTACCTTCTTACGCCGTCCTCCTTCCTGTAAAAGAAGAGTCATGAAAAAATCAACACACGCACTGCAAAGTTACAGAAACAGTTTGATAGAGAAAAGGAAGAGGAGGAGGAAAAAAAAAAGAGATGTCTTACTCCGTCTGACTCGGTGTCTGTTTCAGAGCCGTCGTCGTCCCCTGAGCCGCCTCTCCCGCCCTTGTTATGTGAATGAAACCGCTTTATAAGTTACTATGTTAATATGCTCTGTTTGATTTTGGTATTTTACGTCGTGTTGTGTGTCACTCACCTTATCGCAGCCTGTGATGGAATGACAAAAAAAAAAATATATCAAATTTACAGTTTAATTTTTCAAAATGTAAAAGAAAATTTGGAATCATTTTCACTATCCAAACAACACCATCACCACTATGATTACCTTGTTTTCCTCTCCAATCCTCCCTGTCATCTTTTCCACATTCCCTGCGTTTCCTCTCCCCCTTTCAAATCAACCACATGAAGAATGATTTGGCACATTCACCTAAAAGCACAAAGCTTCAGGCTGCATACTTTTAGTTAGAACGAATTTAAACCTACCTTCTTACACCTTCCTCCTTCCTGTTAAAGTAAAATATAGGAAAGTAAACAAACAAGTGCTGTAAAGTCACAGCAAACGTTAGAGACATGCTGAATGATTACTTACTCCGTCTGACTCGGATTCCGATTTTGAGATCGGGTCGTTGTCTACGGCTCCGTGTGGGGCCATCTGTTAGAGGGGACATCATGAGCTTTCATGTTTGAATGCTCTTAGTCACACATTGAAGTCACCATTAAATTAAAAAAAAAGGAACTCACCCCTCCACAGCCTGTGAGGAAAAGACAAAGAAAGTTCAATTTAACAATACTGAATTGACATTTTATCATCAACAATTAAACACGATCCTCGTTAAATGCATCATTTTTTTGATGAATGAAAAAAAGATCAGTGTTGTTTTTATAGTGCAGTGAACCAAAATCCTTCAAGTTGTTTGGCACAGATATTTGTATTTGTACTATTACCATATACCTAGAGCGTAGTGTATGATCTCCCTTTTTCATATGAAATATTGATCTAATTCCTCTGAAAGCTTAATGTCAGATATTTGTTGTTCTCAATAGTCTTTAATAAAGTTCCAAATACACTGGAAAATAGAGCTAAAACACTAAAAAAGAAAAAGGAAAGATACTGTTATCCTAAACGTCCATATCTAGGTCGACACTTTACATACTTTCTTTAGAAATGTGGTGTAAATGACAAAGTAAAAGATGCAGGTAAACGTGTTTATGTGGAATAAAGTCCAGTGAGCGTTATAAAAGTAATGTCGGCCTGAAGATACAGTAACATTCTTAAACTATTAACACATGATAATAATAGAGACTTACTCATTTTGACTTGTTGATGTTGGTGGTAGAATATCTTCTCTTACTGAAACGGAGGAAAAAAGAGGTCTTAGAATATGAAATACTTCATTTTTCTTGAAGTAAAAAGCAGCGACACAAACTACATACCTGGTGCAGAAATCAGAAAGATACGTCTGATGGGTGTTTTCTGAACTCATTTATAGAGTGCCTGTGAGATGAAGAATGTGGAGGTGTTACTTGATACACCCAAGCTTCATGTTCAGAAACGTGACAGTTTGATAGTTGCAGGACAGGATAGATTTGGGAGTGTCCAGGAGAGAGAGAGAAAGAGAGAAAGATAGTGTTTGTCTTCATAAAAGTGATTGACAGCTCCTTTTTAAAACATCAAATAAACGACTTTCACTTTTTATCAATAATTATTTCACGTATGTATGTTTTTATTGCACTGATATTGGAGGCTTGCTCGATATTAAAGTCTGTGTCAGGAATGGGATTTGGGAAGGACATTTAAAAAAAAAAAAAAAAAAATCTTAAACATCTTTACGAGTCTCTTACTGGCGTTAGCAGGTATGGACTGTAGATACTTTAATATTTACCCTCGTGGATTGTTACTGCCTACAGGCCTAATGGAGATCTTATCTTCAAGTCAGCTGATCTCACATGAACAACAATCAAGCATGTGCTGAGTCGTGCAAAACTGTCACTGAAAACCAAGAAAAAGAGGGCTTGCACACTGCAAGGCTCCAATGTGAACATTTAATTCACCAGTCTGAAGAACAGCTGATCTCACATGACCTTCTGCACTCATGTGAACCTGGACCCCAACCTGGTGATCTCAGTGGTGTAGTGAAGGGTATGCGGAGTATACCCACTTATTTTTCAGTCTCCATAGGGTATACCCACTTCTAAATCTCATCTGATTTACACCATTGATTGATTGACAATATTCAGTAGTATGTTGCATTTTTTCCCCCCCTGATGGTGAAGGGATGACTCTCCTTACTTCGTCTCTGATTGGCTAATACACACAAACTAAATCTGTAGGAGTAGTTTTACCTGTCACTGTTTATAACACAGGCTGTTTATACTCTGCTGGACGAGCCTCTTAAAAAAGGGGAAATGGGGAAAAATTAAGAGTATACCCACTTCTTTTGGCACCACTGGGTGGGCCAGAGTGCCCTACCAGCATGGCATTTTTGGACTTGGAAGGTTTTCCCTGATGGCATGCCACTTTCATTGGGCTTGCAAAATGGGTAGCTAGTGTCTAATGACGCTTGACCGAGTGTGGTCTGTCAAGATCTGAGAGGGTCTCTATCTGCATCTTCTGAGGAGCTTGCTATCTGAGTACACCACCTGCAGAATGAATTAATCAAACAAGTTTGATCAGTGCCGCAGCTGAAGGGAGCATTGTGCACTCTGACTCATCAGTTAGTATATGTCCATTAACCACGATGTAGAATCACTCTGATAACCTTCCACAGCACACGATTGCATTTGGTCAATGGAGGTAGAGTAACTCAGCGGCTGTGTTTATGACATTACTCTTTTATGTTGGCTCCTTCTTGAGGATACACTGTGCCACCCGCTGGGTCCTCCCAAAGCGTCAGTATTTATCATTGGACCGGATCCACTGAGTGACTTGGAGCCATAGTGATCTGCTGAATGGCTGAGCACTTTAGGTCATGTCTATCATACAAAAATATCAAACAGCACACAAAAGCATCTTAATAGTTGAGTACTGGGTGCTGGACAAAAAGTATATCCAAATACAGAGAAAGACTTGAGTCCACCAGAGGCTGCTCCAATTAACATTTAATGGGAATTATCACCTCATGTAATGTTTCGGGCCCTCGCCCTTCATCAAGTTAGTAGACACACCTCCACAATATATACAACTCCTGAGGTCACCTGACAGATCATGTGATACAAAGGAAGGAACAATATAGATTATTTACTATGCAAGAAATTCATAGTTAAGGTCCACTATGCATAGACACTTCAAATACACAAGAACATACAAGAAATATATAAATATACACAACTCCAGCAGGTAAAAGCCTACAGTGCCTGGAGCATTACCAGAATAACTTGAATTACATAACATAATTACTAGAACTAGTGATGAAGACAAATTAAAACATAAAGACAAAACACAAAACACAACATTGTCCAGCACTCCTCGTTTGGCAGAAGTTTTCAGTCCATCATCCAAAAACACTGCCACATTATTGACTCTGATCCAACTCTCACGTTACACTTCACCACCCTGTAATGTCTACAAGAGGCCACCAAACCTGAGAAACCTGTTGGTGAGAGCCCACCTTCCAAATTTGACTGCGCACCACTTTTTTTTTAGAAAAGTCGGTGCCTTCTGGCAACTACAGACGCTGCAACTGCCCCCAGTGCAACTTCACACACAAAACTTCCACCTTCCATCACCCACACACAGGAAAAACCTTCGACATTTAATGTGTTATCACATGCAGCGCCAATAATGTAATCTATATTCTCAAGTTGCTCCATGTGGCCTGGTTTATGTTAGCCAAACGACTCTGAAACAACCTCTGAAAACAAGAATCTCAGAACACAGATCCAACATTTGTAACCATGACAGCAGAAGCCCAGTAGTGGCACATTTCTCACAATGTTTCTGCTCTCCGGTACTTCAGTATTGATCTAGTTAAACAACCCAGTGGTGGAGGAAATGTCGAATTCTTTGTTGCTTGAACGAGAAGTTTTTTGGATTTATACTCTGGACATTGACTCCAAGAGGGTTAAACCAAGAGTTTAATTTGAGGCCTTTTCTATGATGAGTCTACCATTCAGCCACCTCAAGGAGGTTCACTTCTTTGATTGGTTTAGTAACGTTTATCATCCTGGTTCAGGTTGTGTTAATTTAATGGGAGGAAAACTTGCCCAGTATAATATTCCAATAGAAATACATGTGTTTGATAAGTCTATGAAGACTTTGGCTGTTTATACTTTCAAACTTTACAACATGAACATAATATTTAAGATGCTGCAAACAGATCAATGTCACTGAATATGTGTTTCATTGAACTACATTTCTTCTTCTTCTTTTCTTATTGTATTTAATAATGTCAGCATGTTTTTAATGTTACATTTTATTATATATTGTTTGATCACCTTTGCCCTTCATTGTGTGCAAACCTCCTCTAAATGGGGGATCAATTAAGTGTCTCCTCTTTTCTTTAATTCAACACAATCACATTTTCTGTTATAGCCACATGACATTATTGAGTTTTTTGCTATCTTAAGTCATCCAAAATATAGCAGAAAGTTTTATTTGTTGACTTGTATGATGTCTAATGCAGGGCTTCTCTCTCTATATACATCTGCTTCATGGTGAGGCTGTTTTGGCTGAAATACTTATTGAAAAAAGCCGCTGCAGCCTGTTCCCTGTAAAGCACTGTCACTTTAGACTTCTTCATTTGTGAGCCTTGCAGAGCTAATCTTCAGTGGGTGTTCATTTAAAGTCTCCCACTGAAGTTATATCTATGAACAAAAAAATAAACCACTCTTACATTTTCTTGATTAGTTTATTAGAAATATATATCATTCATAATATATAATTCTCAGAGGATTGTGATTCATTTGAAAAACATTATTTTCTACCACGTCTGCTTTCACAACCACCACCACCCTTATGATCCCCAGATTTTCCCCTCTCTTCGTTTCCTTTTCCACATTTATTTCTCTTCTTCCTTTTCTGATCCTGAAAACCAACACAGAAGAATGAGAAGCCTTTCTAGTAAAAAGCAAAAACCAACAAAGCTTTAGGATGTATGGTTGCAATTTAAACGTCTTCAAAACTCCTACCATCTTACACCGTCCTCCTTCCTGTAAAAGAAAAGAAAAGATACTTAACAAACAGTGCTGCAAAGTTACAGAAACAAATCAAAGTGCATGAAGGTAGAGGAAGGATGTCTTACTCCGTCTGACGCAGTGTCTGTCTCATCTGAGCTGGAGCCCTCTGAGCATTTCTTCTTTTCCTTTAATGAGAGTGAAACAGATTCATCATGAGTGAACATGTTTACATGCTGCGTGTCACACATTTAAGAAAATATAAAGTATAAAAAATCAATTACCTCTCTGTCACCTGTGACAGAAAGACAAACAAAGTGCAAATTAATAGTCATAAATGGAAAGTTTTTTAAAGGCAATAAAACACAATCCTTTCAAAATATATTTTTAAAAAAAACATCAGAACAACAACGTGTTGTATTTGAGGCCCAAGGACCCGAAATCCTTATAATAAAAAGATTTTGCATGGATAACTATGACTCATTTTGATAATAGAAAACAAGTGTATGTCAAATACTGATCATAACCAAGAGTAAGGAAAGGTTTTCTCTAGAATTCTGCAATAAAACACAAATTAAAAAAAATATTGTAGAGACTTACACATGTTGGCTTGTTTAGATGGGCAGTAGAATTCTTCCCAAACTGAAAACATAATGAGAGTTAACATCTTTATAAGTTACATCATTACATAATCAACAGTAAAGCCAACTATACTCACTACTTATGTGATGCAGAAGTCTGAAAGGTGTGTGTCGGATAGTCTGATGTGCGTGTTCAGACTGTATTTAGAGTGCCGGGAGATGGAGAATGTGGGTGTTTGGTACAAGCACACTATTACGGGATAAACTACTCATTGACCAATACACTTTATGTTTACAATTAAAAATGTACTAATGTCGCAGGAAAAAAAAGATTTGGGTGTGGCCAGAACACGAGTGATGGTGTTGTTTTCCATGGAAGCAATTAACAGCTTCACATCACAACATGAAATGAATGACCTTCACTGGCATCTCAAAAACAGGGGTGTAACCTAACCATAAGGTGGCTACAATGTAACTGGCACAGCTTTTGTTCAACTACAAACCATTGGTTCAATAAAAGCTCCGTCATGCACGACTGCAGTACATTGTAAGTGTATTTTGAATGGGAAACATAACACTAATATAACAAAGAGGTATGACTAGATGAGCCAATGGCAAGTGTCCTGGCACAACTTTTGTTGTTGTTTGGTTGCTAATTGCCTTCATCGAAAGAATCACATTGAGCGTACATGTGTGCTATATACATGTTAAACAGAATGATGTTGAAGTCCATCCATCTTGTATAGTCCCATCATGTTTGGGCAGATGTTTGCTTACCAAACATGAAAAAAAAAAGATAATTGATGACAGAAATTACAACAGAATGATTGAGGTTGTCTCTGCTGGAGGTTTCTGCTCCTTAAACAAATAAGTTAAAGTTTTCCTGGCTTCTGTTGCCGAATGGTGGACCTGTGTTTATTCTCTTTAAAACAATACAAAACACAGTACAGCCTAGACCTGCTCTTTTTGTAAAGCGTACCTGGATTACTTATGTGTTATGGCTTCATTTTTTAATTTGATTATTTTGGCATATCACAAGATCACAAATCAATGCAAGTTTTCCAGCATTAAAGTGAATATCTTATTTTTGCCTGCACCTTATAACCACTTATACTCCTACATGTACTGGAACAAAACAACTCCCATTGAATTCAAACTGTAAATTACTGAGGGTGTGTTTGCACTTCAATTGATCAGTGACATGGCTCGATTGTCTCTGAACGTGCTTTCCATGCAAAATTTTTCTTTCCAAAGAGAGATTGAAAACTTGGCTGCAGAAACAATGTGCTTCCTCTGAGCTTCACAGTGCTGTGTGTAAATAAACGCCTGCAGCCATAGTAACACAACCTTCCCTACCTGCATGTGTGTTTAAAATAATTATACCGTCCACAACTCAAGGACACACCTGCTACTGTGGCTTTGATTCAAGAAACCTGAAATCTGTGTCAGAGTCACCTGATGTGATCCAGGAAGATACAGGAGAAAAACAAACGGATGTAGGTCAGTACGGGTGAAGCCGACTCCAGAACTACTCTTTCCTGAAATGTGCAGGTTTTTGTCACGAAATGCAGAGGGAAATATTTTAATTTATCATTTTGATCTTACCCTCTCTCATGGCTTAAACATCAAAACCACAAAGAATTTTAGATAAATGTAATAACGTGTGTGTGTGTCAAGCTATAGGCAATGCCTCATGTTTATCTGAGCATGGCTCAAACATTTTGTAGGGTGTACTTGTGTGCAAATATCCTTATCCTCACAAAAGCTGACATCACAGTCATTTGGGTTAAAAAAAAAAAAAAAACCTAGCCATTTGAACTGCGTTGCTGCCTTTTTTTTTAAAAAGTTGCAGCTTTACTAAAAATGTCCATACGAGCTCCGTTTAGATTTATGAGAATAAATTCTCATTTCATATGTTTATTTGGAAAACATTGTAAAAGAAGAACCAGATAGGAGTAGATAAATGCTCAAGGGACAGCGCCTACTGGTGAGAACAGATCACAGGCCATTTAAAAGTGAGGCCATGAGAAACAAATGAAGGCAGATGATTCATCTGATTCTCCAACTGTACAAAACATCAAAACTAGTATGCAAATACTGTAAGACTACACCCACATCGCTTGACTCCTAATCTTTGTTATTCAAATTGTATTCTTATTTATATTTATTCTGCATTATTGCTTAATACATTAATACGATCTTCAATTGTGTCACTATACAGATTTACCCTTCATTTATATTCATATGTAGAAGTCACATCAAGTCTTTTATATCAATTATCAGTAATAAATGTAATAAAAACATTTAGCTGATATTATTGTTTGAAAACTAGTTGAATACTCATCAGACTGTAAGTTTAAATCATACAGTTTATTGTTTAAATACGATGCTGTGGACCTTGGGGACATGGGGGACAAACCCGGTGAGGGGACGTATGTGAGATGGCTTTGCCAACAACATTTAACATCTGGATTTTCTAAGATAGATTACGAACTGTTTTTCTCTGCTATGAGTTTTATGCTTGAGCAGATGCTGGTGCTACTTTTTCCAGAGTCAGAGGCCCCTGATGAGAAATAATTTGGCGCCGCCTGGTGGACATGATGTGAAACTGGTTTGTTCCTACTGATAGCCTGATGACGGTGAGTCCTGCTGATGTGGAGGTCAGTGTGCTACTTATTAACTTTCCATCTATCATTACAATTAACAATATTTTACAAATAATGAATTAACTATTGGTCACTATCATGGCCCTGATATCTGCCATGTAGGCTACATGTTCACCAACAAGCAAAGAGGCAATACACTACTTTATTAATTAAGTGTTAATTAATAAAATAACACGACTATAATGCTCTCAGGCTAACTGTAGCACCATTATCAGGTCATATTAAAGTCAAACTGAGTATGGCTAATGACAAAAGACCTGAAGATATATTACAACACAAGTCTTAGCTATCATGTTTATGACTGAGACTTAGGGAAATGCTAGCTATGGCATGAGTTTAAAGCACCACTGTTTCTATTGTGCTGCTAGCAAGTCCTTTACTTGACAATGCTTTGCTTACAAGTTAAAGCAAAGTTTAGCACTATCGTTAGCCTAAAGCTACACCACTTTGCTGAATCATATATTTTAAAAACAATAGAGTCCCATTCAGCTTCATGTAACTTCATGTAAGTAACATTCCTATGAATATTTGTTTTTCAATCAATTGAAGAAATTGATGAGCTTTAAGTTGTCATACTACATTTTTAACTCCCACTCTCTTCAAATTGTCCCAATAACAAGTTCATACAGTATATGGTTCATACCTGTAAATGATTCAGGTGCAGTTGCAGGCAGCACATAGGCCTGCACCTAATCACCAGGTCAAAACTCAGCTGCTTAACTTTATCAGCTAGTACAATGGTTTAGAGTATTAACATGTTAGGGGCCCACTTCACATCAAACACAAACATTTTTTTCCAAGTAATTTCTTACATGAATTCATAAATAACTCAAACAGCTACTTGTAGGCTGAAATGGTTCTTATAGAGCTTTTGGTCTCTCGCAGGATTGGTCCATGTAGAATGTAAGCTATGTGGGGGTTGGTTGGCCAAAAATGTAGCCCAGTCTGTTAACTTTCAAAGCTGTGAGTGTTTCCACAATGCTCTGTGTATCAAATGGCTGACCTGCGCTCCTAGAGATGTCTGTGACATTTGTCTGCCCGGGCTGCCTGTTTGCTTGCATTTCATTAGCTCTCAGGCTTGGCTCCGGCAAAGGTAGCGCGCCATGCATGAAGAATTGTGGGAAATTCAGCAGGCATCCCCCAAACCCCCCCCCAGTCTGTAGGAAGCTTCTTTAGTACTCCAAACATGTAGCCTGCAGCTTTTAGGAGACGCAGCTGTTGAAACCACAGTGGGAACAAACAAAACATGCATCTCATTTATGATGTTTGGATTTATATGCCATGTTTATTCTTCTTCTACCCCCCCCCCCCCCCCCCCCACACACACACACACACACACACACATTCACATAAGATTGGACTAAAATACATAATAAAAGATATTTAAATGCCCCAACACACACAAATATAATCTCCTTGAAAAATTAATGTTTAACATCTTAACTGTGTAGAAAAGTGTACACCTTCATATACATTATCTGAGACTAATATGCTTTATATAGGATAAGCACCTACTGGAACAAATACAGATTAAATCAATATAATTAAATGTCAGATATATTAAAACTGTCATCATACTGTCAATTTAGTATATTTCTTAGTAAATGAAAAAAACAAAGTGATAGAATTCATTTGGTGAAGCTGACAAGAACATGATAATTGTCATTTGTAACAAACCCTTTTTTCTCTGATAGTTTCATTAAGTAATAGTTAAACTTCACATTTTGCATCGCACATTTGTTGGGTGGTGACATAATATAACTAGCATGCTTTGAGCAGAGGATAAGTGAGGAGGGGGAAAGAGCAAGTGCTTTAAAGAGGGCGAGAGGGAGCGAGAGAGCATATGTTCAGGAGGGTGGGAGGGTTAGAGAGAGAGAGAGAGAGAGAGAGAGAGAGGAAGAGCACAAGCGGATGGGTGCTGTGAAATCCGTTAACAGGGGAGCACTGTGTATTTGTTAGACGTCTTGGCTGCTTGCCCAACTTGGCTCATTGTAATCGAGGCATGATCGGCGACTCCAGGCAGCCTTCTCTGCTGCCTCGGCTGCCTCGCGCCTGGACCCAGCCCAGCTCCCTCCGCTGACATGGAGAGACCTGTGAGTGCCTTCCTCTCTCCTTCTTCCCCCTCTTTCTCTCTCTCTCTCTCTCTCTCACCTCATCTCATCCCACTCTCTCTCCGGCTCTGGTGTTAGGTTCCCCCTCTTCCTCTCCTGCTCTGTCGCAGATTTAGCTGGGGCTACATGCAGCATTTATGTTGCGTCTCTGCTCTCTCCCTCCCCTGTTTGGAGCTGCTGTAGGTGGGCAGGAACGCTGGGTAGAGAGGAAGCTTTGGCAGCTTTCTCTCTGCAGGGCCCCCTCCTCCTCCCCCTCTGCCTGCCTGCCTGTCCGGGCATGGCTGGCAGACCCACAACGCCACTGTGTGTTTTGGGGTTTTCTGCTGCACAATCGCAGATCTGGACGGCTCAACCCAAAGGCAAACCGTCCCCCACAGCGGTTTATAGAGACCGGCGTACACTTCTGTTTCCGACGTTGGGTTCGCTGAGATTCAGAGTCGGCAGCGTGTCTCTCCCTTGCGCCTATTCTTGGTGGTATGTCCTCATGGTCTGTTGTGTTTGGATACCCTGACAACTAGAAGCTGTGAGGTAGCTGTTCTCCAGCTTGCTGTGCTCTGTACTCTCTCTGAGTGAGTCACAACTTTTCTCATGCTTACTAAAGCTTGACACAACTGTCTGTAGTTTGTTTTGTTTTTGAAGTGTGACTGTTGAACTCCAACAACATCTCAGTTGCAACGGATCCTTGCAGGCACAATAACAGCAACAATGGAAAATAGCTTGAAGAAATTCCTCGCAGTACCACTGTGCTGGTCTTTGTGCGCTCGCTGGTCGTGAGTCATCTTTCTGTTATGGTTTTATCACATACAAACCGCCTTTACTCTTTTGTCGTCACTGAGGAAACAGAGGATGACTGACTCACTTTGGCACATCTCCTCCATGTATCCCTCAAGATGGTTTGACCCCCTCCAAATAATTCAGAGTGTGGAGAATGTGATGCTTCAAACTGAATTATGTGTGTTCACACAGCTTCGACAAGCAGCATTTGACAACTTTTTCTATTTGAAGGCATTGTTGTCGCATCTCCTCTTCAGCTGTGAATAACAACAGATGATGCCTTGGTTTGGCTTGGAAAGCGAGGAAGCTGATTGAGAGGGGAGCTCTTTGTTATGGTTATGTGTTCATTCAGTATTATCAGAGCACTACTGAATCAGATTTCTCTGATGACATGGAGAGAAATGCATCCCTCTGCTGCAGGTGCAAGATAAGCAGACACCAAACACGAGACTGATCGTGTATTTCCAAAGTTTTGGCTTGTCTACTTTTTTTATCATAAGTCCAAAAGAATTATAAATTATTCCTGTTGAAATCTACATTTTATTGACATCTTCAAGCGTAGACTACAAGCTGTAGGCGAAGAAGCAGTTTGCTTGAGAATAGAGATGTTTTCCTCTTGGTATCATCTCATTTTCTGGAGCCTGTGTCTTTGGAAGATTACTTTGCTTTTATATGAAGAAGGTGCTTTGCCATGTGAGCAGCCGTCACGCTGACATATTTGGGATATTCTTATACACTTTCTTGCTAAGAGTTAAGAAGGATACCACTTTCCTGTTTGTATATCTGATTTGATGCTACAGCGAGCAGTAGTTAGCTTAGCCGAAACAGGGGAAACTGCTATCATGGCTCGGTCCAGTTCAGCAACAAATTCCATCCACTAGCATCTTTTCAGCTCACTTTTTTTGAATCACACAAACAAATGTAAAAATGAAGAACTGCACTAGAACAGTGCTTTCTATGTGATGTGCACATTCCTGCTACCTGGCTACTTCACAGTGACAAAAAGAGTTCACAGAGTGATGTCTGTATGCTAATCTAAGCTAACAGGCTGAGAGCTGTAATTTCATGTTCAGAGATGTGATTTATAGTCTTTGAACACTCAGCAAGAAAGCAAAAAGGGTCAATTTATTTCACCTTTCATATCATATCCTATTGACCTACACCTCTGGAAGTGTTGTGGCATATTCTGTGAGGCGTTGTGCTGTAGAGAAGTTTCTCATTCACCAGTCTGCTGTGACACGAGCCCCTCAGTTTGCTTCTCTGCAGGGTAAAGTTACCATTTCCCATCGCCCACAAAACTCTGAAAACAACATTAAGTTACTGCAGGCTAAAGGAAATGAGATCCCTGTTGGACTAATGCCATCCCATTATAATCCTGAAATATTATCCTCATCTCGTCTATTTTGAATATACGTTTACATGTTTCAACTCAGCAGCTCTCTTGCACATGTTTGAAGTTGGTACAACAAGCTGGAGAGAGATTTTCCTGAAAGGAAGTGTGAACATACACCTATCTGCTGTTCCATGAGAGAGCACATTGACTTTCAGTATGGAGGCATGCAGTGCTGACCACATTGGGATGGTTAGGATGCTCTGCATATGCATTCTGCCTGTGTAACTGAGCTGTGTGATGAATTCTCCATCTGTGGTGGATGTATAAGTGTTGTGTGTTGTTAGAGAACATGAAGTGATATGGACATGCTGGGGCATGTTTTTAATTAATTTATAGAATTTTTGTATATTAAGCACAAGGTATTACATACATATATGTATGTATTTATTAAGTTTGCAAGACATTGAAATAGTCTCCAAATATTACATTTATGTTCGTACCACCCAAAATTGTCAAGTACAGAAAAAGTGCATACAGTATCTGATCCGATTTCTAACATTATATTATAACGACTTTATGAAAGCAAAGTTTTTCTACATCTGCTGATGTTTATACAATTTGAAAACCTTTGCTTCTTTTATTGAAGGCTAATACATTTTGTTTCAAAGCTATGTTAAAAAAAAAAAGTTGTACTTATTCATCGCATTAATTAGCTGATTTGTGTCTTCACAGACCCCCAGTGACATGATGCCCAAGAGGGATCATGAGAGGGACCTGGAGCTGGACAAGAAAATCCAGGCTCTACGCAGGAAGAACGAGGCCCTCATGAGAAGGTACAAGGTAAGGACAAGTGCTTGCAGGCAGAAAAGTCCTAGTAGTAGGGCTGGAGCAATTCATACAGTTTCAATTACAATTCAATTTTGGCATCCCACAAAAATGAAAACAACAATGTCCTGTTGTTATCTATTGTTATATTTTGGCTACAAGATTACATGAGCACTACTTCAATAACATAACTTATTTATTTTTATTAATTAATTTATTATTGCTTTTATATATATATTTTTTATGTTTTTACTTGTTCATTTTCAAGAATAGCTTTATTGTTCAGAATGTCATTTTGAGGAGTGTTTCAGTTCATGTGATGCAGATGTTAAATCAATGAGTAATTGTGTTTAATTATCATGATCTTAATATCAATCAAAATTAATTGTGATAATGATTTTTGCTGAAATGGAGCAGCCCTTCTTAGTACAGTCATAGTCAAAGTAGAAATGTTGGGAGGGTTTTCTCCTCTCTTGAAGAAACTGCAGCTCTTTCAGGCTCCCTCATTAGTTGATTGTTTCCTTTGAGTTTCATGTAGGAGGTGGAGGAGGATAAGAAAATGGCAGAAGAGGAAGGAATGGTTCTGCAGAGCCGCAAGGGCAAAGCTGATGATCTTACCATCACCATCAGCAAGTCCACCACTGTGAGTTTTTCAGCACGAGGTGCCGGACTTCAGAACTGAAATAATACCAGACTAACTAGATCCTGAGAGCACTGCCCTTGTTGCTGCTCTTAGTCCTTTATTTGGAAAGGATGCTACTAATTTCATGATATATATGAGACATATTTTATAAAGTTGTTGTCTTTGGTTAGCAGGATAATCGTGTGGTGGTGACAAAACAATTCAGCGATGGTTCGCCAGCTGGGAAAGAACCACAGGAGTCCGGGCCTGACAGGGAGGGAGAAGCTCCACCGCAGGCTGCTGGCCAAGGCCACAGGAAGCAGATTATGGTCACCATGGCTGGCAAAAAGGTAAATACACTACAGTACTGATTTTCATTCAAAGTAAAGTGTAGTTTTACTGCAATAATTAAATCACAAAAAATAAAATAAAATAAACCTTTTAAATCAAAACGTACAAGTAGCTCAAAGCAATTCGATAATTGTTCGAGTAAAAATTAATTGGCGCAAGGAGAGGTGGTTAACAAAAAAGGTTTCAGCTCCTAACATTCAGATATTGTCTCTACTGTGTATCTGCTATCTTGGCTACTTTGTTTTTTTGAATGAAAGAAGTGGGCGTAGCAACCATGACATCACCCCTTGTTATTTTTAGACTACTTTTTAGAAGCCTTGAGTTTGGCATGTGGGCGTCTTCTTCTTGTTTTTCTTGGCTGGAAAGTGTCCCTTTATGGACCAGAGGATGACTACTCAAGAGGTCAAAGTCAGGGATTTGAATGGATGCTAAGCAGAGAGCTAATGGCAACTCCCTGTTAATAAAAGTGGCTACACCCAAAATTATGCAAAGCATTAAGACTTAATATAATATAATTTAAAGGCAGTAGTAATGCGTATTAGGGATGTCATCATTTTTATTGATAGGCCCATAATGCTGGTTAAATGTTATGTCTAAACTGTGATGCAGGCCCCCCTCCATTAGTAGCTCCGGCAGTGGGCGTGCTCTCCCTGCTCTATTACCTGGATGTAAACCAGCACAGTGGATGGATGAAATCTAGAATGTAGGCTGTGTCGAAATGATGCATAACCTCTCGACCGGAGCAATGTGTCACCACATTCAGCACTTGCATGTGGATGTTACCCTGCAAGGGGCACCATAGACCTGGGGAGTTAGCATTGCAAACATCAGCCACACTTAACAAACCAATTTGACATTGTTTACCTGCAGAGTAAAGCACATTGCCAAGTGCCACACATTTCAGCAGCATTTTAATAGCCATAAATTTAGTTTATTGAAGAATGTGATAAACTGTTTCAAATCACAATTTAGACATTTCTGAGTGTTTTTCTAACCGTCAGGCTAGTTGACTAGAACTTAGAGTTCTGTTTAATCAACAGGGAAATGAGTCTCTAGGAACATCCCTAATGTATACATCACATCCCTAAACAGTGAATAAGGAAGTAGGTTATAGAGACCAATTATGTTTTATACCATGTTGTAAACATGTTGTTTTAATGTTCAGTTGGGTATCGACTATATATATAATATATGGGGTATTTACTCGCAGGTGTAGCTAGCCTCAAGTGTCCATTTTAGGAACTGTTATTTTTTGCCCCAGGGAGATGCTTTGAGCTAAAAGCTGGCACATAAGTTTGATTAATGAAAATATTAAAAGGTTTATTTTTGTGTGATGCCAGAGAAGACATCTGGATACAACAAAATCCTAAGGAGACATTTCTTTATTATTTATATACAATGTTTTATTAATACAGACTAAGGTGTGGGGGCTGACCCATAGACACTAAGTTTTCAAAGAGACACACTGCTGTATGGCTAATAATGCCAAGCTGTGATTGGAAGATTAAATTATATTTTAAATCAGCAACATCAGGGAAGAAATTATAGATTTGTGCTTTCACAAATACTTTTTCAAAATACTACATAAATGGCTTTATAGCAGACAACCAGTTTCTGTGGCAACTTTTTTTCGTTTGTTAGAATAAATGATTGTTTCAACTTTTTGTTCATTTTCTTGAATAGAGTTTTGAAATGATCAGGACTGGCCCTCTCATTTTACAATGAACCTTGCTACAGTTTTGATGCTGTAATATGACTAAGTGTCTCTCCAGGGTAAGAGGGTGGTGAGCGAGAGGCCAGAGAAGAGGCCAGGCCCTGAGGACGCCAAGAGCCCCACAGATGATGGACAGGCGAGGCGCGTGGTATCAGCGGGGAGGGGGAAGCAGCCACCTCACATGACCAAGAGAGAGGCAGCAGCACAGGTCTGAATCACACTCTCTGAACACTCCAGTGATCATATGCTTCAGCATTGCAGCCTCCCTCCCCTCTTTGTTCACTCTCTGGTGCTGCAGCCCCGACGTGTTTTACATAGATGTCAGACATGTCGGCTGGCCACACCCATCCAGTGATGAAGCACAATGGTGTGTGGACAGGAGGTGGACTGGAGCTGTGACTGACTGGTTTTGGGATTAAAGAGGGGGCTGTCATAGAGCTGTTGGTTGAGTAGATGCTCTGGCAAACCAAATATTCTTTGAAGGGCTTTTATTACTTTTTTCTACTTATTCAAGTGCCATCCCTCTCAGATCTGATTGTATTCATTTATTTTGTATTTTTATTGCTCAGCTAGCACCAGGAAATATGCTATCAAGTCTTTCCTCAACAAAATGCCGTGTTCGTTATCTATATTCTATATGGCTCAGATCACATGTTTAATGCAGATAGGCAGAAAACAAACATGCAGTGCTCCCGGTCGGGCTGTGAAATGCCGCACTGTCACTGCCCTTAGGCCCCCTGGGTATGCTGAAACTCTGAAACAGCTGCTCTGCCTCAGTCAAACACACTCACACTCACATACACACACACACACACACACACCCACCCACACACACACACACACACACACACACACACACACACACACACACCCACACACACACACACGCACATATTCACCCATGCACTCAGACAGAAATGAGAGCCTCAATTAATGAGCTGATACACAGACAGCTGATCCTCACTACTATAAACACAGTCTTGTCTAGAGTATGGACAGAAAAGCAATGTAGGCCTTATCTAAATATGTCTGTATGTGTCTGCCTCTGATTGGCTGATACACTGACTGCTGCCCTCTAGCCCGTGTGAGCTAAAGTGCACTAAATTTATGAGCTTCTCTTGATGCTCCCTTGCCTTTATTTCTGTCCTGCTTGATTTGTACCTCCTTTATTCACCATGTGCACTGAATCAGCACTTGGAACAGTAGCCAGTGCTCCGGTGCACCAGACATCTTTGAAGTCCAGAGACCTGCCTTTTCCACGTGGTCGCTGTTTACATAACCAGTATAACTTGACATGGTTTACGAGAGAGAGAATGTCTCTTAGAGGAGTAGTTGCTGGAAGATGGTTCATGGTGAATTGCACCCTGCTCTGTTTTTTTGCAGAGCCTCTGAAATATTTTTATAGAGTGTGGGTGTGTGGAAAGAGTCTCTGACAGGGGTGTGGTTATTTGACAACATCCCAGGCAGATTGTAACCCCATGACTAGACTGTCACTTTACACCCAAAAGAGAGAGAGACAGGGGATGGGAGCAGTCGAGGGAAGGAGAAAGGGGAAAAGAACGGGAGGGGCAGAGAAGGGGAGACACTCCTGGCAGCCCACCGTCTGTTTCCAGTCTCCGTTTCCCCTCTCTGAAACCTTAAGTGGTCTGCCCTCCTCCGGCACGATTGTTTCCCCATTCCCACCAACCCGAAAAGGACTGATTTAATCGAATTAACATTCAACTGCCTTCTCACTCTGAAAAGGCTCATTATGCTGCCAGAGTGACGGCTTGGCCAGTTGCCAGGAAAGGGTCATAGGCAGAGAGGAGGAAGAAAATGAGATGAGGAAGAAGAAAGGAAACAAGGTAGTCAAGGGTCTTTTGTGTTTGCATGTGAGCCAGCCAGCATTCATGTCATGTGTGGGTAGGAGAGTGTATGTTGTCTGTAGGTGAGAAAGCGCTTTCTTTCCAGCATGTATTTTCTTTTGCCCCCTTTGGCTGCTCATTTAAGCGTCGCTGTTAATGGCAACATGACTCATCCACTGTGTTCATGGAAGCAAATCCCTGCATTTAGATATCACTAGAGCCAAAATTCACACATTCTCCCCCTGCAATAAAGTGGGTTTTAATTTCACAACCTGTTTAAGTCTGACCTGCAGTTCACGCTCTGTTTTCATACCCTGATTGCAGAGTGATCCTTTAAAACAAAAAACCACAGGTGCCAGATTACACCGTAGCACCATTAGTCCAATAGGGGGCAGTGTTGACCTCTTAATTCAAGCAGATGAGCGTGTGCTCTTGCTTGATTTGCTTGTACTGTTTATGGCAGCAATAACGTGACTCTTTACAACCATTTTTAATTGGCTCACAACAAGTTGCTGTGTCACCCTTATTGTTGTTCTGCTAATACCTTTTTTTTTTTTTTTTTAATAGTCGCTCTTTTCTCCGACAGGATGATGTTAAACAATGGCAGAAGCACACTGAGGAGCATCCCAGGCTTTCAGAGCAATGCCAGGTAACAGTGCACATGGCGGTGCACACCTACATGAACACACAAAACATATTAACATGTGAATTGTCCTCTAAAATGTACCTGGCAAGGATCAGAGAAAACTCATTTGCCAAATTGTTGTATCTCCAGCTCATTATGAACACATGAGTCACTACTGGGAACAAATGTGAAAAACAAGGTTTCCACATGACTGTCTTTGCACACAGATCCACAGAAAAAGGCCAATTGACCATCATCACAAACACAAACGCAGACAGGGCACAACACATTGCATGCACACTCCCACCTATTCTACTTCTTGTCCCCATCTGTCTCTCGCCGGCTCACGTGTAAACATTGCTGGAGTCGCTCAGAGCTGTCTGACAGATCAAGCGTGCGATAAACAGAATAACAGTTGAGGCGGGGGGGGGGCAGTCTTCAAAGGCCCGTCGAATGCACCACATGACAAGTGATGCTGTTCAGGCCTCTCTGTGCCTAGCCTGCTCTGTAGCTCGTGCGGATACATCGCTCGAGGAAAAAACACGCTGAGTTAGATTTTTTTTAATCTTCTGTCAAGCTCTTCTGGCAATTTCAGGCCCAAAGCAGAGAATCTTTAGAGGGTTAGGGGGGGAGCAGTTCAGCTGTCCAGAAAAAGAGGACCATCGTTCTTGTCTAGAAACACAGTGCAAAATATCTTTCTTCAATAATATCAATGATTATTGCAATCTAGCAAATACAAAATAACCTTGTGGTAGTAAATAGATAATATATACATTATTATTAGTTGCTCAGTCTGTAAGGACTTGGGTTGGGGAAAAGAAGGTCATCAGTTCAAGACCCGGTCTGAAATGGATCTGGTTGCTGGAGAGGCGCCAGTTCACTTATTGAGCAGGTCCTGCTCTCCTTTGAGCAAGGCACAAAACCCCCACCAGCTCAGTAGCACTCACTGTGGGTAACTCCCTCATTCTGACATGTCTCCATTAGTGTATGTCCATAGGATCCTGTTTGTGCATGTGTGTGTGTACAGAATTACAGCCCATGTGTGTGTAGATTGTTTAATAATAGAGTGTAAAATTGAATTTCTACTTGCGGGATTAATAAAGGATTTCTTCTGTTTTCAGCAAGCTAGTCGGTCATCTGTTGAGGGTGGTAATCTTTAAGTCATTTAAGATTTAATTTAACAATTATTTACTTTAAATGCCTCTGGGGTCTGCAAAACGTTTTTTGGTGTATCATATAAATTAGCGATGGTACGGAGGCTATAGTCCTCATAGCAGTGGCTGTGGGTTGGAATCTGGCCTCGGACCTTTGCTGCATATCATCCCCCACTCTCTCCTCCCAACATTTCCTGTCTCTCTTCAGCTGTCCTATCCAATAAATGCAAGAAGGCCCCCCAAAAACCAATCTCATTTAATATAGTGGTGACAGTAGCGCAGTCCACACTTGATTTAAAAGTAGAGTTGGACTGAGTAGATCAAAATATGAATCGAGTTCGAGAGTTTCAGGCAGCATTCATGGCATTCTCTTGTGACAGTTTCAGTAAGTCTGTTAACTTGACAGTCATATTGTTGCAATAAAAGCTAATGAAGTGAGATGAACAGCCTGGATCCTCATCTTATTAGAGAAAACAGATGTAGCCATTTTTTCTTTTGGGAACTTAAATGGCAATAAACACAATCGCAATACTCTTATCGCAGTAATATCAGATCATGACTGAAGTATTGTGCTCTGTCTGAGACCAGGTCCTGCTCTCTCTCAGCTTTACTGTGTCACATCCTCCTCACCTGCTTTACAGCCAAACAGCCTCCCTGTGAGGCCTCATGGAGGTGAAAAGTTGAAAAGTGCTAATTAGCAGTGCGGCAGGGGTGACATCAGCACACAGCCTGTTGGAACATGCGGATGGACTCTCCCTTGTGACCCCTGACGTCCTCCAGGGGGCCAGAGGAGAGGGAGGGGAAAGGAAATGGAAAACACAGGAATGGGCACAGATGAGTTGCTCAACGATAACTGAACATGTGAAGGCAACATGTTTACTTGGCTGTGATTGGTCCAAACCTGAGGGGAAAACATCTCTCGTCATAGTTTCACTGTGCTGTTTGACAGAACGTGACAAAGTGTCCTAAACCTCCAAAAAAAAAAATACATTTCTGATCTCAGCAGTATCGTTTTCCTCCTGCTGAATAAAAAGAAACAGTGATGAGCTCTTTTTCTCTATTTGTATCCTACGTGTTTTACCCCTGACCACAGCACTGTTTGTAGTACTGGTCCCCTTCAGGGCTTTGTAACAAAAGCACAGTCTCTTTCTCCTTTGATGTGTTCAAGTGCCTGCCCTTTAGTCATCGTAATACTTCCCTCTCTCCTCTCAGAAAAGAGGGGGAATAGAGTAGGCCTAGTTTAATTGATTGTGACTGGAATATTGTATTGAATAATTTAGAAGTGTTGTCTTACAGTTTTAATTGTCGACAAACAATAAGTGTTTTTTAAAATAATTGGAACTGACTGGAATACATCACCACAGAAAGTCTTTAAATCCACTCTGAGGCAGTCATTGGTGTTTCCAGTGGATGACAATATCCTTGTTTGTTCCTTTCTTTTGAACCCTTTGTTTGCCCTGTTGCTTTTTAATTATTTGTTTTGACATACGAAGCTGGTCTTGTTAATGTGAGGCTTTTGCTCTCATTAGTGTTCAGAGAGATCCATCAGATGGATTACAATGTGACACTGAGTGATACAGCTGTTTAATGTGGTTATTGCTTCAATGCAAGAGCTTCATTATTAAGTGAGGACAGTAGCATGATATAAATGAATGTCTCTTATTATTACGCCATAAATACACTGACCTGATTTGTGTTTGCTGAGGAGCCTGAGAGCCCACAGGTCTGCACAGATCTCAATATCCCCACATCGAAAGAGGAGCAGGAGGAGTATCTGCAGTGGAAGAAAGAGCGCGAGCAGATCGACAGGGAGAGAGTCGCACGCCACAAAAACGCCAAAGGCCAGTGGAGACGGGCGTGGGACATGGACAAAACTGAGAGCATGTAAGACTTCTGAGCACTCACACACAAGGCATGTCTTAATCTGCTTAAGTTGCACTCATATTATAATAATAAAATAATGTATACTTGACAGATTCTATATGCAGCATATTTAACACAGAGTTAACACAGATCTTTGAAAGACAAAGCACAAGCAGGATACTAAAAGAGTAGAATAACAACGGGAATCCAGAATCTAAAGCCAAACAAACGCTAGAAAGAAACAGTCGTAAAAAGTTAGAGCTTGAAGACAAAACACATAAACACAGCACATAGAAGACAGACAGGTTAGGAAAGAAGAGGAGGGCCAAGGAAATGACACAAAAACTTCAAAAATGTAGAGTATGAAAGAAATGAAAGGAATACATGACATAAAACGTTTTTTATGGTTGGACTTTTGGTTTGTGTTGATTTAGCTGTGACCAAAGCTGCCTTTGCTGATTTCTTCCTGTACAAGCATTAGTAGTTTTTTCTTTTTGAACAAAATCTCATCCTTGCTTTGGAAATTGTAAAAAAAAGAAAAGAAAAAAAAAGTCTGTTCCTGCAGTATGCAGTTCATCACAGTGATCACCTGAAGACTACCCCCTGGAAGCAGTTTCAGACATTAAGAATAGATATATAGAAAATTCAATCTTTATGCCAATGTTCCTGTTTTTCTTTTTCAGGTCATAAAGAGACATCACTGTAAATCTCAGTCTGTGTCATAACAACCAGCTAAAATCTCAGGAGCTTTAATGTGAATAATAAAAATGTTTTATGCTTTTGTTTTATAAGGAATCCAATGCTGGATCCCTCTATATTTCTACCAAAAACCTTATTTTATTACAGAGTGTAAATATCCAGTTTGAGAGAGGAACAGAGCTATGCTAGCTATTTCTTCCTGCTTGCTCTGCTAGTGGTATCAATCCTTTAATCTAAGAAAGTGCAAGAAAGTAAATACAATTATTTTTAAAAAGTTATTCCAGCCCTTACAATCATACATTTGTGAAAAGATATTCTATAGTCTTAGTACAAACTGTAATTAATTCATACGCTGTCTTTCTGGCTGGCACATTTATTAGCTACTCCTCGTTCTAGCTAGCCAGTTATTTTACGCACCAATTTCTTTCTTCTCCCTCGATCTTCTACTTTTAAACTTTGTGAAAAGCTTGATTCAGCTTTGGTGCTCATGTAGAAAAGAAACATGACGACCTTGAAGAACAGCTTGTTTCAGTCTCGTAAGCTTATTGAGCAGACCAAATCCATTCAATGAGGTTTTAGGACCACATGATCACAAGTCACTAAATAAAGTCACAGGATGTTGCTCAATGATTGCATTACAATTTGATTACTGGTACTCTGAAGGTTATTGTATAATTGTAGTTTTCTGTTACTATAACTTGATGCGTTTCCTAACACTTTAAAGTTTGATCCTAGGAGGATTACGGTGAACAGACCTCACACATACACGCATTTAAAAAAGAACATGTCACATCAGCAGATTCATGGATAAAAAACAAAACCTGATTCGTATCTGGTGCCATAAATAGGGTCTCAGCCTTATTTTCATCAACATCGACTCTGACTTTTTCTTTTCAGTAGAAAGTTAATCAAGGGAGCCTAAACTTCTCCTTCTTTCTTTTTTCAATACAACCTTAAACTTACTGCAGATAAAAAAAAAAGCTAATTTATTTGATGTGTGGGATAGACTTCAAACCAAAGCGCCTGTAGTACAGCCAGTGACCAAGCTGCAGAGTAAATGATTGTGCTGTTTAAAGGAAGCATCAAAACGTAAAGAGACAAAGGAGGAGCAGTTATTTTTAACGTGGGATAAGGGATGGAATTCCTTACCTTATTTGGCGAGGCTTGAACAAGGCCCTGGAGTAAGAATAGAAGAGGAAATGTGTTTTTGATTCCACAATTTTTATTTTACCACTGGCTGTTAAATGCAAGGATGTGACTCATGGAGTTAAAATCTCTTCCTGATTCTGCAAATTCTCATATTTTTTGGCTCATTTTGATCAAACTTTGAGGGTACTTAAAAGTCAGAGCCTCTAGATGTGGGTGTTGAGGAGCTATTATGTCATCAGAAATAAAAGTGATACATTTGACATGAACATCTCCCTTAAATCATTTTGTGTTTCTGTCTAAAGTAAACCGAAATTTTGATTTTAGGTTTACAGGCAAAACCCTTCCTGACAGGGACTGGGGGCCTTCAAGCAGAGGTGAGACATGCTCTCAGTCCAAATTTAGAGAATGAATTTCAGGAACAAATTCTGTGTTGTATTTTTACCTTTTGTATTTTTCTTAATATCGAAACGATGTTTCAATATTACAGGGGGACGAAATGCTAGAAGAGGACAATCAAGGGCAGGTGCTGACTCAAGAGGTATCCCACAATTATTGAATATCTGTTCATTTTAAACATTGTTAAAACATTTACATAAATTTAGATAAAAAAAAAAAAAAAAAAAAATGTATAATGACCTGAGCGATACCATCCACTATAATTTGTATGAACCTTTTTTTCATGTAAAATGCAACAATTGTGACTTGAATTGTCAGTATTTATTTGTCCTAGGTCATGATAAGAGGGGCAAAGATAAGGGAGCCAAGAATGTGCCAGCGATGAGCAGCAAAGCAAAAGGAATCGATCGCCTGACTGGGAGAGCTCGGAGGTAAGTTACAGCTGAACATGTTCATGAAATGCATAAAACGATCACAGAAGGCTTTCTGATTTTTGCCACACTGTTCTTTAATATACAAATCACCCTGAGTATCATGAGACTGGATTCTAAGGTCCATCAGCCCGAAGGCCTCTTTCAGGTCTCACAACATTCATCATTGTCTTTTAATTTTTCGTCAGTTTCAAACACGTTACTGTGCTGTTAGACAGGACGCTAGCAGGATGTGTTGTTACATAATCGTCGTTGCTCATGAAACTAAAAACTACAAGGCCAATATCCTGGAAGTGCAGGATTATAGCCTTTCAGCATGACATTTTTATGTACCAGATGATCTGCTGTGTGTGTATCTGGTGGATGGGGGGGGGGGCAGTGGTAGTTGTGGTATCAGCTGCTGATGCATCATAGTGTAGAAAGTCCACACAGGCCACTACACAGTCCTAAATCTAGATGTAGCTTAGTCACCTGCTGCTTTCTACCAAAACATTTCCTTTGCTAGTTGATGATTGATTTTTTCGTTTGGCTGTTCACAATTGCTTTGCAATGGGGCCGATATCAGACTCCTGCTGGACTCCACCTATGTAAGTGGCCCACATTGAATTTGAAAAGATCAGATTCTTTGTGACTTGTGCTGTTCACACTTTCATAAAATCTGGGTCCCATAGGAACAAAAAGATAAAAGACACTTTTGACTGCACTGTGAATGCAGCCCATAGCTCATTCTTAATTATGCAATAGTTCAAGGATTTTCTATATTTTGGAAATTGTGATTTGATACTAATACAATTAGCTACATACAATTATTTACATTTCTCTAACATAAAGCTAAAGTTACAGCTAGCAGCTGGCTAGCTTAGCTCAGCATAATGACTTTAAACTGGGGCAAATGACTTTCCCTGTCTCTTTAAAAGGTAAATATTCTATGCACACAACTTACAACTAATGTAATTACTTTTCTTAAAATCCGAGGTTCGATGGGGAAATGTTTGTTTTTTTGCAGGGTGTTATTTGAAGGGCGTTTTTTACATGGTCTGTTACACTGACTACCTTCGTTATGTTTTTAGAGTTCAACACGCCTTGAAGGAGCCTAGCTAGCTGTTTTTCCCCATTCGTACGCTAAGCTAAGCTAAGCTAACTGCCTAACAGCCTCATCTTGATAGTTACTGCAACTGTTTTAATATTGTAACAGAACAGATTTTGATTAAAGACCCATTTATTTTTTAGATGGCAGGGAAATGAAGAAGAGAACTCACAGGTAAGATATCAAACTTGTGTGTGTGAATTGGATTGTAAACGTTACTAAAGAAATCATCACATTTGTGATGATTTTCTTTTTTCATCTCGTCCACCAGACTCCTGACACAACGTTAGAGGAATTCCTGGAGGAGCTTGACGCGCTAACAGATGCCGAAGTAGAAGATCAAAAGGATCAGGAGTCAAAATTGAAACTGTCCCTTAGCACAGATTCAATGAGTACATCTGAGAAAGTGTCAGCTGCAATCCTGAGAGAAGACACCCCCACTCAGGGGAAGGCAGAGGTGTCGTCCCCTCGGGGTTTGGAGAAGAAAGTGCGCTTTTCAGATGCGCTCATCCCGGCGGCTCATACAAGGCAATCAGGCTCTCAGGACTCTGTTGGCTCAGAATCAAGAAGTCTGGGCTCTTTAAAAGCTTCCTCGCCTAAAAAACAGAAACATAAAGTGCAAGGGCCTCAGCAGCCTCTTGAAAGTGCCAAGCAGGATGATGGCAGTCCTCAGCATCAGGAAGGTGGTCCGTCTTCTGTTCCCCAGCAGAACGCCCCTGAAACTAAATGTACAAAAAGAGACACCACTCTCCCCACAGCTACCAGCGCCCCCTCCCCTGAAAAATCGTGTGCCTCTTTACAGGAGAGCTGTGTCCAGCCTGTAGAGCTTGCCAAGGGCAACATAAGCAACACAAACACAGGTTTGCAAAACATATAATGCCTTGAAAGGGATAGTTCCTTTTTTTGTTTGTTTTGTTTTTCTCTTCGAGGAGAGACCAGCAGGAGTACCTGCACAGGAGCTAGGCCATCATCGATGCAGACAGGGTCGTTTGCACCACTTAATTTAGCAACTACATCAAAACAAGCTAAAAAAAAACAACCTTGGGGTAAACGTACTGTTGGGGTTGTATCAAGTCAACTTTGGTTATATTCTTTAATAATTATACTTAATTATTAATAATATAAATAAAATATCATTAAACTATGTTTAATCTCGTTTTGGGGCACCAACCTGTAATCAGGTAAATATAACCAAAATATCACTCAAATCAGTCTCAAATTAGTTATTTAATTACTAATATTATTAATAATGAATAACTATATTTAATAAATTGAAGGCGTGAAATCCGTACACAAAGCCTTCGCACCCAGCTTATATCACAATGCAAATACACCAGTAATCACAAACAACTGCTCTCTTAAATTATAACAGAATTTATTTAAACAAAGCAACATCAATCCAAAATCAATGAATTTTAATTAAACAAATAACTATTATAAACTAATCTAAGCAACAAACATTATCAAGCAAAGGCTTGTGGATGAGGTGTGAATGTAGGTGTGTGTGTGTGTGTGTGTGTGTGTGTGTGTGTGTGAGAGAGAGAGAGAGAGAGAGAGAGAGAGAGAGAAGAAGAAAGGGGGGAGATGGCTTCGTACCCTCGTGGTCGTTCACGATGGCGCAAACCTAACAAAGACCTGGGTGTGTGCACGTGTGGATGAAAGGGAGAGAGAAGGGGGGGGAAGATTACTTCGTCCCACGTGGTCGCCCTTCCGATGGCACACACCTAACAAAGGCCTAAATGTGGCCTTAAGCTCTAAAAGAGACTGAGTTCGGCCCTACACGATCTGTGTCTCTGAGGCGTCTGGATGGCCGCGAGTGTATAGATCTCTGTGCGTAATGGCGCGGTGGTGGAGTTGGTCTCCAGATGTACGTTTACACGGGACTATGTGTGTATGTGTGTGCGTAGAAGGGGAAATAAAAGAGAATAAAAGAGAAATGCGTGCCTGAAGAGGCCGGATCACAGTCCGACTCCCCGCGCCACAACTCGGAGTAATTCCCTTCATTCACAGAAACAAACCAATAGCCGAATTCAGGTTAATACAGCTTACACTGGCCTTTCTGATCAGAAGAATAATACCCGGTTATAACGCTGTTACGCTAAACACATATAGGACGCAGCGGTCCGAAACAACAAGAGTTTTAAACAGTTAAAACTCAGGACGCAGGTCCAACAAAGATAAAAATTACAGTTTCTGCTTTGATCATCAATTGTTAAAAACACTCTCTAAAGCTAATTCTGCCCAGACCTAATTAAGCCTCACTTGTGAATCGCTTTGTCCGCGATTGGTGAAAGGAAAAGAGTCCGGCGATGGAGCAGATCTTCTGTCCGTCCTGGTGCAGAGGCGTCTGATGGCGGCGAGGGTCCCTTACGGCGAGAGCGGCTTCGTTGGTTCTCCGTCGAGTGGAAAAATGTCATTTGATGTCCTTTCGTTGCAGGACGGAATAAGACCGTTATCTTTCTGATAATCTGTTATAGTCTGACGCTCTCCGAGAAACTGAGATGCGTTCACTGGACAATCCGAGCTCGGAATTTAGAACACTGCCGGCCGCGGATTACCTGCGCGCCAAAACTTAAAACAAAGGAAGATTGTTGCAGGAAACAGGAGATCTTCTTGGGTCTCCGAGCACCGAAGGTCAGCGCGTGAAAGAGAGCGAGCAATGGAAGTCTTGGAGTTTTGTAGCCTGGCCTGCTCCATGGGGGTCTACCTCAGGTCCCCTCCAATGAGGAGAGAGAGGTTCCGGTCCCCCCTTTACTTCACACGTAGGTGTGAAGTACCGCAGGGGATTCTGGGATTAAGAGTCCTTTTAGGCCTCTTTGTGATCTCAGTGAATAACTCAAATGAGGCTTTTACAGAGGTGCAGGCCCAAGTCCATTGCTTGACTGTTCTAAGCCTGCGTGGCCCAACAGTACGCTATATTTAGAAAACTCTCAGTGCTTTACTCTTCCACTAGCAAGCCACTTAGTTTTGGCCCTACATCGGCACATCACTTGCGTGTTCCTTTGCCTGCATCACACTGATCAGCTGCTCGGGTCTATAGTGTCACAACTCCACATGAATTTGAACAATTAGACTGATAATTAAACTGTGTATTTTTATATGACTGCAGCTCTGTAAAAATGATCTCACTGATACAGCGACGACTATAGAGTTTGTTTTTCTAGCTTAGTTTTCTTCTTCAACAACACAGTGTGTTTTGATCAAGTGAACATATCCTGCAGACCATGGGTTGTGTTATTATGCATGTCGTTACATTTTTTATTTCATGTATTTGTTGTCTCTTCCCAAGGCCGCAAACTTGATGTAGTGTGCCAAAGTAGCTCCAACACAAAGTGATTTACCTCATCAATTAAAAAGTTAAAAAGGACCCTATCTTCGGCCATGTATAGCCTAGATTCTGTGCTAGCACTCAGGCCCTCCGGTCTCTCCTTAACAGGACCTTGCTGATGGAAATATACTTACTGTACTACTGACAACTACTGAACTATCCCTTTATTTACTTTTCTGACTGAACACTTGGATGATATATACCTAAACCAATGTCTGTTTTTCTTTCAAAGAGGAACGTATAGACTCCAGTCTATCTGTCCTGAGCCTGGAGTCAGGAGAAACACACCCAACACACTCCACCAGCAGCGACAAGGTCAGTGTGAGAGACAGGAAGACGAATGAGAGAATTGATAGATGTGTAAATGAAACCGGTGGAGGAAGGTGCAAATGGATAAAGAGCTAGAGAAAGACAGGCAGCACATCTGCAATGCAATGGTGTAATATTCAATTTAGTTTGAAGTACTGTCAGCACTTCTGCGACTTGTTGGAGTGCAGGAGAAGTAGTCTCAAGAGAGAATGCATTTTCTTCTCATCCACTGCTGAAGCAGCATGATAATATGTCTAACTGCCTGCGTAAATCATTCATGTAGAAAAGAGAGGTAGAAGGCCCTTGATTCATAAGATGATTACGTGAATTATGGAACAGGAATCAGTTCTCCCTAGGGATGTCAGCATTAACTAGTTAATCGCGATTACTTAAGGTCTGAAATTAATGCATTCATTTTTTTAAATCGCGATTAATCACATGCAATTTTGTCCCTTTAGGCGCACCGTGGATAAGCCAGTGTCTACCTGTAGTCACAGTGATGGAAAAGAACGACCCCGGTGCGTTTTTGAATGTCTCATTTCACTTTAAAAAACTCTCAGACATCTCAAATGACAAGTCAAAAGTAATATCGATGATCATGACATCAAACATTTCACTTTTGTTACCGTCCTCTTTAGCTGTTTTCATTAAGTTATTGATCCGTAACAAGTTCCTTTTTCCGAGGTTAAGTAAATGTCATAACCTTCGCTCAGCCAGAAGATCCTTACCTTGTTTCAAACAAGTCAAGTACTCTCAGCTTAAGACAGTACAAAACTTCAAAATAAAAGCACAAAGATTTTTATTTTTAAATGCAAAATAAGGGAATTTATAATATGCGATTGAAAATACCATTAATCCTGATTAACTATTGAAATTAAGTGATTAATCGCGATAAAAAATTGTAATTGTTCGACAGCCCTAGTTGTAACTCATACTCTTGTGTGTCTTTCTCTGTTTTTTGTTTTGTTTTGCAGGCAAGAGAGCATGGGAAGATTGTTTGATCGCCATCTTTCGGTATGTAAATACTGAAACCAAATCACCAGGAACACAGAGCGTTGCCTCTTTTTGTTTGGATGCATCATTTTGCTTGAAACAGCTATTTTAAGAACTCCTGGTTATGACTTACTCTTAAAAACCATGGTCTAGTTTTGCTTCGTAGGAGTTTTTAAAAACCTTAAAAATTTGACATAGGAATGGTGAACATTTTCCCTGCTTACATTTTGAAGTCCCAGCACTTTATTAGTATAAGAGTATGTGTACTGACACACTATTAGAATGATGGTATGCTACTTGAGTGCAATATCATTGAATGTTTACATTTCAAGGTACATATCAGTTAGCTAGCGTCTTTGGTAGCCCTTGAATTAAACTTCAGCCACAGTCTAATGATGAAGAAGCTGATCTGCCTTAGAGGTATTTGCGAAATGAAATGAAGTCTGTATTTTATGATGGTACATTAGTGACAGACCTATAACAGAGTCTGTATTCTCTAAAGGTGAGTAGATATTATTTGGGAGCTGCTTCCAGGAACAGTCGAAGGCCTTTCAAAAGTCATAAATCAAAACCTGATTATTATGCACATTTGAGACGTTTTGTACTTACGCCCTATGTGGAGGAGTTTTTTTTTTGTTTTTTTTAAGTTTTTCGTGTGGCAAAAATGTATTTGTTTGTAAAAACATTTAAGCCAGAACAAAAAAATTTATCAAATGTTGCTCATAGTGTTTTTGAACAACCTGTGTTTTAAGTTTATAATAGTCTCCAACCTTTTTCTCTGTTGAGGCTTTTGGCCCCTGTGGGGCCGACACACGTGGCAGGTTGAAAACAAGTCATCCACATCCATGAGGCCAAGCCTTTAGTTCACATTCAAAACAATAAATAATTATAAACAACATGTTTTTTAAAAGCTTCCTCACTTAGAATAGAAAGTGGTTGTGCCTTGCATATTGTCTTTTTCAAATACTGAATATGTTTATGCCATGGTTTGTATCATAACACACAGTAGTGTTGAATGTACTGTACTAACAGTGCAGCGTCAGTATTGATTTGTATTTATTTGCCTCTCCATTTGGAGAAAAGAATGTTTAGAATGATTTAGCAAATCTAACATGTGCATTATAGCAGCTGTTTTATTCTGTGACATGCACCGATTTATTTGTATTTATTGCCAATCAATTATTTTGATTCTTGGTATCAAGTGACTACTGCATTAAGAAGCCTTATAAGAACTCATCGAATAAGTTTTTGTCAATGCTACTGCATAGTAAACAGTTCTGTAACCGTAAGTAGAGAGCATTAGTGAACATGCTCTGAGCTGCAGGGCAACATCAGATTTGACTCTGGATACATAAAATCCAAACCATCAGCAATCTAAAGGAGAACATCAAGATATTTAATGTGTTTGAAGAGGCCTTATACTAAATTATGGAATGGCATTTCATACAGATTACCTCTGAAGTATTTAAATACCCCATGGGATTCAATTTAATGAAATGAATCTATGACCTACAACCGTTGAGCATTTGAACATTTGTCCTTGTTCAGCTATTAAGACATCTGCATAATCACTTTGCTTAAATGTCAAATCTAAGAGGTGCCTGTGGTCGTTTTTTGCCCCCTGGGTGTCTGTTGCTCACCTTCATGTTTTTACATGCACTTCCAAGGAAGAATTATTACTCAGTGCCTGTGTACGACTGTGTCAAAATTTGATCCTAACTTTACAATTTCAGAGTGCTGATTTTGTTTGATATCTGTTGGCAAAGTATAGCTTCGTATAGAGTAGGACATTTTAGAAGAAGGCATACAGATCATCAATAAAGTTTTTCTGTGTTTCAAACTCTATTCTTTATGGTGTTTGTTTGATGTACTGTCACCTTCCCCACCTTCAACAAAAAGAGGCAATGGCACAACAAATATGTAGGAATCCTGACTCTAGAGCATTATGCTGTTGAAAAACAACAGCCTCTTTAAGAGTGTAGATGTGACAGAAACGTAGAGCACATTGCAGACCAGACTGTCAATAAAGCTACATCTAGATTCTCTGAGTCCTGCCTTAGTGTAAGATTTGATTAATTTGGGATGAGTTCTCTGCAGACCTGTTTCATTGGAAACTGCCCCCTCCCAGCCCTACAGGTGGGACCTCCCACAGGTGCCACTATTTTAATTATCTCCTCCTGAGGCTATCTCTACAGCAGCCTTCTGCCACTGAGGCTGTAGGGCTTATGGCCTGCTGTACACAGTGAGCATAGAAAACTCCCACCTTTGTAAAATGTTCTGTCATGCTCTCAAAAGCTTTTGATCCCTGCAGTTAATATTATAAAACCCAGTCCATAACTATCCTGGTTCACATTAGTGCTAAGCTAGCTAATAGTTTGAAGGGTCTGACGTAATAGCACACTACAGTGGGGGTGTTGATTTTATGGAAATAAGTCCTGTAGGCCGTGTTACAGGATTGAAGTGCAGTGTAGGATTATGTCAGCTGCACTCTGCAGCAGAGAGAAGCTTCAGAAACGTTGAGGGGAGGGAAATTCAACTTTTGGTCAAAACAGCTTTAAAGCAATGTGGTGAAGGGACCTGTCAAAGTAGAACTCTTAAGATCCTTTTTGTTATAAAAAGCTTTTTGATTTGGTGCTGGGCTAGAACTGGCAGTGTGGGGGGGGGGGAGGAGGCTTTCTCCTAAATCCATTCTCCAAAATACTGTCACTAAATCAAACCAATGCAAGGGTGTTCAAGTTATCTTTGACTGCAGAATGAATTCATTAACTTTTATTTAGAAAAATGTAATGGGTGCTATTTGCACCATTTCCCAATTTAGTGCAATTTGCATTGAATAAACTGAATAAACCAAAGATAACAATATGTACCTAAAACATAATTCATTTGGCAGACAATATATCCTATTTAAGTCCAATAAATGTATTTAAACTTAACGATAAGCCAATGCAAGTAGAAGTGTATCCATTTCAAACAAATAACTAGGAGCATTTCCTATGGCTGTGCAGTGCACTGCTCAGATTTGACAACCAAATGGAGACACAGATAAGTGCTAGCAACACGTTTCGCGTCAACCCCACAGTGACAAGACTCCAGGTAAGAAAATGCCTTAAAGATATATTTACAAAACTGTCCTGTTCAAATTTTGTTCAACCAGCTACCTATAATTTGATACATAGCACAGTGAGATTTAACGTGACAATGGAGCACACTTTTTAATTATCATACAGAGCTAGGCTAAAGTAGTAGGTATGATATTTTCTAGCTAACAGGCTGCTGGTTGCACTAGACTACCAGAAAAACATGAGAATGACATCAATGTTGTCAGATAACTTGCACTGAGAGCGTCTATAAGCATATTTCAGACGTTATATGAACTAAAATTGCTACTGAAAATGATGTGCTCTCTCTCATATAATGGCAACATATGGCTTTGATGACATTAAACCAGTAGTCAAAGGATCACATGGTTTTTCATTACAGTCGATGAATGTAGGTTAAGTGGAAGCGAGGTCGCCCCCTCATCCCTGATAGAGCCTGACAACACCTCACATTTGCAGTCCCTACTTAACGTGTGCGTCATCCCCCCTAAGACCTGCCATGGTTCAGGATGTAACAACCACGCCTCGGCAGCTGCCCTGATCAAGGAGAGTGACTGCCCCCCCCCCCCCCCCTATTCCCATCACACCCCCTGCCAGCATGGAGACAGGAGGCTGGGCTGGGCTGACAAGGTGTCCATGTCCTTCGTGCAATATTGATCTGAGGTCAGTCATTTCTGTTAGCATCACTTAATAAACCTATTGGAAGGCCTATATAGCAACTGAATAACCACAAAGAGCTGCAGAGTAGGAGGTGCTCTGTCCTCATCGTCATAGATCACAATTTGGCCCTTGTCAAAGTGCCTCAAATCTTTTCTATGCCCACTTTTCCTGCTTCTAACACATCAACTATGAGGACATTTATTTATCGTCCCATTGGTATATTGTTATTGGGTAACAATTATTATTGTGTCTGGTAAGTGATCTGATTTCACATTTTACAGTGAATCTTAATCAGCTAACACTTGTTCAGTGTGCCAGACATCATGTCCCACCTCAGAGGTGCACTGTAGAGTTTAGGAGTAAATACTCAATGGTAGACATCTTTGACCCTTTGACCTTGAACCTGAGTGTCACACAATGTTTCATTGCTGCATCAGAGGCCGATTGAAGATGTTGCCAGAAATTATTCAAAAGGTCGAGACATAAAATCATTAGTAGAAGCCCTCTCCCCAAATCTATAAATCATTTGCCCTTTTGTTAATTGGAAAAGCTTTTTGTTTGCTGCCCACATTTTGATCTCCTGTATTGTGAGACACCGTGTTCATATTTCCTGACTTTATAGGATGGTGTCTTGCTAAAACAACGGAGACAATGACAGGCCTTTCTTTCCTCCAGCTTTGTTTGAAAGGTCTCGATGTTGTATTGTGTCACTTCCAAACACATCACATCTAATGAGGACAACGTTTTCTGAGAAGCAGAACTTTAAATAGTCTTTCCACTGAAATGTTTTTAGCCTCTTATCAGACTGATATGAGGAACACTGTACGCTTGTTTTTATATTTTAACTGAGAAAGTGAGTATTTTTTAATCACATTAAATCTTACTAAAGGACAAGTACATACTTGTTTGATTTCAAACATCATAGACAATTAGGCTTTTGAACGTTTTGAAACATTTGACACATTTAGGCCTTTCATTTAGACAGGAGAGGCTGTAATATAAAGAGAATGATTGTCTTCTTGTGAAATAGTGAATCAGACACAAATTTAAATGTTTTTCTGTATTACATACAAATGGCCTCGTTAAGAATTCTTTATGTCTCTGTCTTATAATATAAGCTGTGCAATTGTTGCTTTTTTGGACAAATCTGACATTAAAGTGTGCCTAGAATAGCTGCAGTTATCATCAGTTAAGAAGCAATGTCTTTTCAAAAATGGCACAGTAAGCATCTTTGAGGACTTGAATGTATATACTTATATGATTTGACAAATGAACTGTTTTTGGCATTCCATGTTTAGAGAAAACATGTGATCCATACATTCGACCAATCACAAAATAAGCTCAAATGTACCATATGACTGACTTCACATCCGATAATTATCTTTCTGGTCTAACGGGTTCAAATAAGTCAGGAGGTCGGGTGCTGGGTCCTGACGTACTATCAGGTAATAACTGTCAGTATACTGATGAACTCCTTTATCAATAGGTCGCTCATTACTCCTCTCATATATCACAAGAAGCCGTAAGAGCCAATGGCAGCACATCTGTCAAGGCTGTGCTCGACACAGAGACCAGCGCAACATTGACAGGCCTGTCTCTGTGTCGCATACACTCAGTGTACCGCAGAAAACATGTTTCAAATTGTAAGCACTGAGATGTCTGTATTTTGCAATATTTTCCCTGGTCTTCTCAGCATGTTTAGCTCCTTGGCTTTGCTTCTGAAAAATCTGTCATATCAACACAACTGTGCGTGTCATCACTGTTTACATCACAGTGTGCAACATTTCTGGCTGCTCGGCGGAAATCAAACTGCCTTTACCCTCGTAGTGATAGTAAATGGTGCTTGTCAGAGGTAGCACAGAAAAACCAAACCTTTAAAGCAGAGCGAGTCCCTATCAGAGAGAGTGGGATCAAAAAATAGCACCAACGGCATTGTGTAATGTGTTCTTCTCTGTTTTCTACAGTGCAACAACAGAGCTCTCAAATCGATAACGCCTCCCTCACATGCTGCTGAGAGAGCGCATGGGGTGCTCGGTCTTATTTCCACTTCATAGTTCACCACATGTGACTGTGTGAAGAGGTTTCAGTGAGTGCTGCAGTGACTGAACTGTGGCAGACTGGGAGATGAATGCTTCTGTTCCCACGGGAGGCAGACACACAGGGCAGGTCACCCAGGTAATTACAGTGCTGCCCCAATCTAATTTGATCAGATGTCCAGATCACTAGAACATCCATAAATTCAGCTCTTCTTATACTTGCACACCTATTACGCTTGCCTCTTAAAATAGGCAATAAATGTGGGGTTTTCCACATTAAACTAATCACCTTAAGTGAACCACAAAGAATTCAAGCCACCTTAGTTTTTCATTTTCAAATGAAATTTCAGATGTTAGGAAAAACCTAACATTTATTTGAATATATATCATCCATTCTGTCTCTGAATAAATAAAATATCATGAACACACAGGATAATATCAGCGGTTAATTCATGATTTACATAGATCTATTATAAAACCATAAAAATGAATCTTTTTCTGCGGATGTTTATTTGTAGCTTGTGATATAGTTATAGCTATATTATACATACTGTACCGTTAATAAAAATCATCTAATTACACTAAGAGTTCATCTATAGGCCAAAAAAGATGTATGCCTGCGCTATTTGTACATGTCCAAATCACAGTACATTTACATGGTTATATGCACATACCTGAGCATAACTCAATAATGCAGGTTCTTCTACTCGAATCCAGGTTTGATCCATGACAGAAAAACACAGCCTACATGTTAAAAATGCAATAACTCAGAACTGATTGAGACCAGCCGATGAATGGCAGTGATGTTAAGCGCTGAGTGCCTTTGAGATATTTGTATATCCTGCATGGACAAAAGCATCTCTGGAGCCTGTGTCTTTAATTTAACAAAATATCTATGCCAGGTTTGTCCACGGATACAGGCAGGTTATTGGCCTCAGCTGTCCGAGGTATAGAGTAGACACACATTGATTTAAGGCATAAATATGGCCTAAAACAAAACAGCATTAGTATTGAAAGGGGGGACGTGAAGATTGCGAGGTCTCCTCTTTTTTTTTTTTTTTAAGTCATGGTGTGCAGATTTCTGTTCATACGTGCAGCTCAGCATCCATAAGAGGCTCTGCAAAACGAGTTGTAAGAAGAGGAGCTGTGTGTTATCCGACCTGCGGCATTAAGTCTGTAAACACTCCTTGTTGGGGCAGATTGTGTGTGTGTGAGAGAGTGTCTGCGATGTCCAAGAGGCCTGATCAGTCGTCTCTCAGGCCCGGTGCGGAGGATGGAGGACCGGTGACATCTGGATCGCGTTGGTCATTTCCCCCGTCGCTCCGTCTGTGCGCCCCCCTCTCCTCCTCCTCCTCCTCCTCCTCCTCCAGTCCAGACTCCCTGTTCGTGGACTGGACATAGTGGCTCTTTCCGGGTTGAAACCCTTGTGTCTCTCTCACCGATCTCTCCGCGCTTGTGTGACCGTGGGAAGACGCGTACCGTTCTTCTTCCTGCCGCTGCTGCTGCTGCTGCTGCTGCTGCTGCGTGCGCGCTGTTTCCGCTCCGGCACCGCGCGGAGACACGGACCCACTCTCGGCTCTGTTGTCCCACTGAAACGGCTGACTGTGCGGGTTGGTTGTGCCCTGCCTACTCTGGTTCAGAGATAGCAGCCCTGTCTGTGTAGAGTTCCACTCTGAGACGTTGTGGCTTGAGGAAATATTAGTTGAGATGTTTGCGGTGGGGGTGACCTCCTCAGGCACTGTCGGCTTCCCCGCAGAAGAGGATGCACTGGTCGGTTTCCAGATCAGGCTGTAATAAATAGCCAGGATAATGGCTGCTAAAGACACGGACAAAACATATGCAAAAACAGTAGCTAGTCTCACCCACTTCTTGTTCGTCTTAGCAGCCATCTTAGCCTTTTTGTCCCCCGTGTAAGTAGCAGGTTTACCCCTCTCCATATTGGGCATGAAGTCCCGCTCCCTCATATTGCCCCTATTTTTCCCTCGATGCTCCACCACCCCCTCCGTCTTGAAGGCTTCTTGTGATCCACAATCCAAGAGAAGTCAGGAGGCTGAGGAGAAAGATGCTGGACCACCGTGCACCGAAGGAGAATCTTGCAGTTCAATTTGATTTCTTCTGATTCATTTGATGTGAGAAACGCAGCGCCTATTGCTCGGTACCCAGTGCAGAATAGCGTTTCATAATGGACATCAAGCATCCACAGGCTGATTGCGCGTTTCAGCATCCGACAGCGATGGGACAAATGTCCAGTCTGTGTGGCATTGCCAGGTAACAGCTGGCTGCAGGCCCTTTTACAAATCCGCAGTATACGATTTGATATATTAGGACGAAGAAGTGAGATCATACGGTACACAGCTGTCTGTCTAATCCAACAAATGAAGTGGCTGGCTCAGCTAAAAATACAGGAGAGGGGGCGGGCGGTGGCTCTTAAAGAAGCAGCAGCTGTGCAGCAGCCCAAGAAGAAAGCAAGGGGGGGGGGGGGGGGGGGGACGTCCACACATCAGGAGGCTTGTGCCGCACATGGAGAGCAGGATGTTGTAGCGGAGATGAACAGTTGTCCAAGTGACGCTGCAAAGTGTTTACGTTACAGCCAAGTGGGGAGGATGTTCTAAGTAATCTGCGATGAGTGGTGATAGATGGAACATTTTTTAGCTGAATCTGTAAGTTATATAATGTTCATCAAATTCACAGGTATTATTGTAAGCCCCCCCCCCCAAAAAAGGATATTTCTATATTTTTAGATCCTTTTTGCCTCATAGCTGTTGGCTCATTTACAGCGCGTCATTTCAGCACAATGGACAGCGCACGTGGTCTGCGTCATTGCGCGAGTTAGTAGAGGTCAAACAGGTAAAGGGTTAACTACAATTGAGCAGTAAGGTATTCAAATAAAAGATGTTTTAACAACAGTTTTCTCAGCATCTCTTTGCATTTTAAACCTCGTTTGCTCCTATATTTGGCCTTCTTCTTCTTACACCTGTTAGTTTGTATTCAAATGTTAAATTATTTTCTTTACAAAAAATGTTTAGTTTTTTTCCAGTCCATTTCTGCAGCCAACATCTAAAAATCCAATAAACCCAGATTATTAAATTACACGTTACCAGGGTGTCACACAATTACGGTGGTTGACTTACGGCAGGTCAAATATTTTACAAAACGTGAAAACATTTTTTGACAATGACATTTCATGTAAACACGATGACATTCTACAAGCCACGATGATGTTGACGCAACATTGAAATAAAATAAAAACCTTTCATAAAACTCAACCACATTTGAAACTCAGCAACATAGAAGAAAGAAAGGCATTTTCATAATTCATGCTATTTCAAGTAACACAATACATTCCACTAAACGGAGCTACATTTCATTAAAAAACATCTTAAAAACACACAAGTATACTTTAATGACTTTCAATTTTTATTTTACATAAAACTAATCAGCTATATCACATGGTACACAGTGCAATCTCTTACAAATACCCCCCTCCCCCAACCTATATACACTAAAAACACTATCCTAGAGGGGCTCTTTCATGTTGAGTGGCTTAAAAATGAAAACATACATTAAATAATAAGGAAAAAAAACAAGTACATTTTAAAACAACAACAATGAAAAACAGAGCTTATTTTTTTGAAAGATTTTTTTTGGGGTGTACAATAAAGGGGTGTACCTTTATTGTTGAGACAGGACAGTTGGAAATCAGGGACAGAGAGTGTGGGAAATTACATGCGGGAAGGGAGCCACAGGTTGGATTTAAACCCGGGCTGGCCACTTCAAAGACTACAGCCTCTGTACATTAGGCGCCCGCCCTAACCACTCAACCACCAGCGCCCCACAGAGCTTAATTTTTTTTATCAAATGAATAATACTACATTTCAGAAAACATCGTCATCAAAACATCACAACAATTTAAAAAGAACACTGCAGAATATTAGGAACTCAACATAACCGAAAAAAATACAACAACATTTCACAAACATAGAACAACAGGTTAATAAAACTAAAAAATGTTATTCTGTGAAATGTTATCCTCATATACATCTTTATTTACCTGCTGTCACCAAACTAAACCACCTGCATCTACAGGTGGCTGTCAGTGTAATGGGTGATACCTTTATACGACACAAGCAAGTCATCCCACAGACCCAAACACACCCACAGTCAGGTGTTTATCAGCTTTATTGTTTGTCACTGTTTGTTTTACAATGTGGACACTGGGCGTTGGAGGCTGATGAGCTGTAATCAGGGGTTTTCTACACCATATTGATAAGGTTGTGTGTGTTGCTCCTTTCTTTTGTCATTATTATACTATGATATAAAACATCTGCATCTTCAATAAACTGACTGTGAGGTGGTTTACTAAATGTCGCTCGTCTGTCACCTGGCTGGGTGAACGTTTGCATTTGATATTTCAAGACCTTAGGTCCCTGGTTTATTTGAATGATATCCAAATGACCAGGAATCTTTTGTTCAAACAGCCACCAGTGTCCAGCCTCAGGTAATAAATGACACAACATTATGAACCTGGACTTGCGGCTTTGGCTCAGGTTAATGAAATAACCAGACCATGAGTAAATCCTCCCATACTGTTAATGTTAATGTACTGTTATGCCCTCACTCTGTTTTAAATCCTGTTTCTTCTGTTTCCAGGCAAAATGTTCTTTTTTTTTTTTAAGCATAAAAAAGTCAACATGCTATTAGCAAACAACATTTCTTATAACGGGTGTGAGAAAGAACTCTGAAAGTCACTTAACCCATCTCACCTGTCTTTAGCCGATTCCGAGATTTAAGAAAACATGTCAATATTCTGCCTGGTTTATAAAGCTTTGTCTGATGCTCATAAGAGAAATATCTTTAGAAAAATGTATTTAAACTAAATACAACATGAACCGTGTCTCTAATAGTTGGAGACGGAACACATCCCCCAAAGAAAACTCTTCATATGATGTGCATGAACTAGTTAAGGCTCTGTTTTTAGAGGGGAAATGTTGAGATGTTTTACATTTCTTTATGACTAAAAATTTACTCTCATTACTTCTTCCTTAAGTCAGCAGCACCTACACGTATATCCTTTTTTTCACTGGCACAAAAATCAAGCACGGATCACTTACAAAGAAATCATTATTTTAAATTTTTTATTTATAATTTAGGTCTTTCAAATCAGTTTTCTTTATTCATTTTCGTCCAGAGTTGGGACGTTCACCTTTCGTCAAGTTCCTTGCTTTGTTTTTTCTCATCCATATTTGCAATGCATATCTGCCGGGGTGTGTCCTTGGGCAGTCAGTGTCTATGCACTAAAACTCCACCTTAGTCTATATCGTGGATACATTTTGAGGGATACGCTGGCAGATAGTTGTGACAATGGTGCACATGCAGAAAGGGGATGTATCAGTCCTATAACATTTAAGTGAAACAGAAGCCAGTTCAGACGCTCAAAATGAACAAGAAAAGGCACTTTCTGGAGCCTCCAGAGGTCAAAGACTACCTGGTCAAAGGAGATAGATTTACCAAGTGGTCAGAGGTAAGTCAATATGTTGAGAAAATCTAATCTTTTAAGAATTCCTATTTAAGAAAATATTGGACCATATACAGATCAAATCTATAAGGTTCAATCAGTAAGTCTTCATTCTGATTGTTGAGCAGTGTGAATGTTTCTTTTGATTTGTATTGATTCTGATGTCAGGCAGATTTGTTTTTTCAGAGGGTTTAACTCAATAGATGTTTCCATCTCTTTCCCAAGGACTCGACAAAGACTCATCCTGTCACCATGAAAATGGATCCCAAAGGTTTTTATGTCTACTGGATCAACCAAAGCAAGGTAATCAATACCCTGAGTGTCAATATGTCATAGATGTAGAGAGGTGTTGACTCCTGTTCAGAGGCTCACAGAAGTGAAACAGCCTTTTTTCTGCGCATCAGACAAACACAACCTGACAGAATATCAAACGGAGGTAGTTGTGTTTCAGTGACTCACATCCAGAGTGTGTGTAGAGTGCAGAAGCTGAGGCTCTGCCAAAGCTTGTGGGTTAGCTCAGAGCCGCATCGCACCTTCCGGTCCCAGCAGCTTTGTGGAGATTATCGATCAGTGCTGATGTGGGCTCACCATCCTGCAGCAGCGTGCAGCTGAACTGTGATGCACTCCATGGAGAAGACTATCATTCTCATGCTTCATCTCTTTCCATCTCGCTCAATGAAGCACCTTCAGGTTCCCACAACATCACAAAACCAGTACATCAAATGTGTGTCTCATGTGTCTGGGCTCAATCGTTGTAACATTAAAGTATTTGTGTGAAGTTTAGATCAAAATGAAACACAGCAGTTTCCAACATGAATGTTCAGAGACATTGCATCCTAAGATTCCTCACACAGACAAAGTCAATCCCCTAGTTTTTTTGCACTTTGCCAAAGGATGACTTGTATCTGAATCCATATTTGGACTAGCCCCTTCACATTGAAATAATAGTTGAGATGTATCTCTGCTTCTTGTTTCTAGGAGACAACGTTCCTGGATGTTGCTACCATCAGAGACACCAGAATAGGAAAATATGCGAAACTTCCAAAAGTGAGTAAAGTGTCATTATCTGACATAAGCACCTTCTTGTCGATCAAATTAAGTTTAACTGGTTTGTTTTTCCATGAATCTTGGCATGCAAATCTGTGTTCAAGCCCTTAGTTTGCACATTAGTTGGACAGGCAGATTTGCATTGCAAAAAGGGCAATGGACACATGCACCAAAGCTGCTGCCGTACTATAGAAACACACAAACAAACATAGATACACACAAACCAAGTGCCACACATTTAATCATGATCTAAGATTTGTGTGAGGGGAGCTCGTGTCTTTGTGTCTGACTGCTGCAGCTCCTCTTCACTTCCTCTCCGGCATCCACAAAGAGTTGCACTACGCAGCCTATGTCATCCCTCGTTGAGGGTTCAAAAGTCGATTCAGAAATCTTCTCCCCCCCAGGGAGAGCACTGAGCTCTGCATCATCCCAGCTGGGGTGCTGATGGAGGCACATCTTCCTCTCGGGGCCTCTGAGAAGTTTTGGGAAAGCAGCTCTGATGCCGACATTATGTCCGCACCTTTGAAAGTAGCATGGGAGTGATTGATTGAAGAGTAGCAGATGCAGGAAGTGGGTACCTAGAGCTGCAGTGTTGTTTATATGTGTGCGTGTGTGTGTGTGTGTGTGTGTGTGTGTGTGTGTGTGTGTGTGTGTGTGTGTGTGTGTGTGTGTGTATTTGTCTGCATATTTTTGCATGTTTTGGTTGGCAATTTTGCCTATGTTGATCAAGCTCAAAGCGTACAAGTGCTGCAGACTTGATTTGACCTCTTTGAGCTAACATAGGAAAAACCTTTTCTTTCCTTTTTTTTATCTTAGAAATGTGTGTCTTTTATTGACCCAGGATACGTCTTCACTGACATTTAATGAAACATTTTTAACAACAGTCCAAGAAAGCATGCTAAATTTTCTTACAGAAAAAAAAAAAAAAACTTTCAGTATTCACAGCCCAGTGGAAAAAATACAGTGGATGCAATACAGTTTCAGGTTCTTTAAAAAAAAATTCCAGTTTATTTGAAATATTTTTTTCTTATGGTTTTGTTCTTACTCTGAAAGCCAATTTCTATAGCATATTGTGTTAGAGCAGTCACCGCTGATTTTGCTTTATTTACCTGTATGTTAACAATAAAGCACAGTTAAAACAGATTTGTTCAGAGTCTAAATATTCTGTAGGCACACAGCTTGTAACTCAGCCTTTGCAAGAAATGCACAGTAATGAAAAGATTGCCACAGCAAGTAATAAAGTGTAGTGTACAGTGGAATGCAGTATTGAGGTATATAGGTAATGCATTCATAAAGGGCATCCAAGTGATGCAATATTGATAAAAAAAAGTTTGCCAAAATCAAATATCTCATTTCCTGAGAGGGAAACATGCTTTATATGAAGAAAAAAAAAATGAACATACTTTTACAAAAGCATTGATTTATTTATCAGCTTGAAATAATGTTTTCAAGGTTTTCTAAAAATGGCATCATTTCTCTGTGGTCAGTTCTCTATTAAATCCATCATCTCTCCTTTGCAGCACCCTAAGGTTCGCAACGTGTTCAACCTCGACTTTCCAGACAGCAACCACCTTGCCAAAACTCTGACCATCGTCTCAGGTCCAGACACTGTGAATCTGACCTATCATAACTTCTTCGCCTCCAAAGAGAAAGTGACACAGGTAATAAACCAGCGCATACACTTGGTATTGTGTGTGTCTAATATTTAGCTGTTTACAGTCCTTTCTTCTCTGCCAATGATCCCCTCTGATGTTCAAACACAGCAATGGGCCATTATAGCCATTACACAGAGAGCCATCCCTCCGATAAGGCGCCCTCTCACTCCCCTTTAGTCCTTATTAGACTCCATGACTCCAATATCCGGATGTAATCAGCTGTAATGAAATCACAACGGTGCTTTGTTCAAATTCAACATGCACCACTTTCATTTCCTGAGGTGCTTTTACATTAACGCCCTCTAGTGGTGAGTTTGTGTCAATTTCAGAATCAGAGTCAGAATCAGAAATACTTTATGAATCCCATTTTAAAACCTCTTGCAATGCCATTTAATGACATTTCAAGCACAATTTGTGTTCAAATTTAAATAATGATTACCCTTTTTTCTCATTTAATACACAACAGAATTGGGCAAATGACATTTTTGCAATCGCATACAATGCTGCCAGGAACAATGCATGCAGACAAGTCTTCCTGGAGAAAATGTAAGTGAACATGATGAGTTAGACCTGTATTGTTTCTGAATGAACATATCACACATATAATACAGCACTGGACTATCAAAGTTTAATTTGGCCTTTTTTGTTTGATTGTAGATACGTGCGTATTTCTCTTCACACCAACAAGGACGGCAAGATCCCAGTGAAATAGTAGGTTACAGCAATCCATGTAAAGGTGTAGGATGGCTCATTTTGATTTTTTTCAGCAGATTTTTTTCACATTTGGCTATTCAATGTTTCTCTGTTTATTTCTGTCAGTATTTACAAGATGTTCCCTGCGGATAAGAAGAGGGTGGAAAGTGCCTTAGCATCAGCACACCTCCCTAAAGGAAAGGTCAGAAAAGAACAACCTTTTTGTGGGCTGCTTGTCTACTCTGAGTCCATCTTTTTTAAAAGATATTTTACAGTAATATTGATATTTTGTCTCTCTTCACTGTAGTGATTGTCGTTAGTCTTTTAGTATTTCAGCTTAAATGAAAGTACTCAGACACCTGCTGAATTACTGCAAGATTAGGTCAAACATTTTTTACAGTGGCAAATAAGTTAATATCTTTTATTATTATGACATGATGTACATGCTTCAACATTTCAGTACGACTCCATGAAGCCGGATGTCTTCACTGAGGCTGCCTATAAGACCTTCTTGACACATCTCTGCCCTCGGCCTGAGATCTACGAGATCTTCACTTCTTAGTGAGTCTGCTTCACGATTACCTTCTGATGCCGCTGAATCATCCTCTTATCATGTTATATAGGGATTTTATATATATATACACCTGATCCAACTTACTAACACATTTTAATCTTGTGATATATCTGGAGTGTACCTTTAAATACTTTTCAATGGCTTGGCCCAAAAAAATAAAATCTATTTAGTTTGTTATCTTTTTCCATGTGGTTAACCCTTCAGCAGTTTACTTATTCTAAAAGGCTAGATAAATGATGTGCTGTAGTTATGAAACCAGAAACTTGTATTTGTCATTTGACCGGGGCTCAGGTGGGCTGTATCAGGCCCTGAGAGGCAGAAGCAACATGACGTGCAGATCTGATGTGGTTGTCATGCATCTCTTTGCCCCGCAGCTCCAACAAACCCATCATGACGAAAGAAAACTTCACCAAGTTCCTCAACGAGAAGCAGAGGGACTCTCGCCTCAACGAGGAGCTGTTCCCACGTCTGCGGCAAGACCAGATCAAGGCTTTGATCGACAAATATGAACCCCTCTCTGCCAACTCAAACAGAAGTGAGATTCTTTGACATTGGCATTGATCTATGTAGGTTTTCAAAGGTGGATAATGCTTTCCCTCCCCTTGTGCATCTTCAGATCTGATCTCTCCAGAGGGTCTGTTGTTCTTCCTCATGGGGCCAGAGACGTCAGTGGTCGTGCAGGACAGGCTGGCCAAGAGTCAGGACATGACCCAACCCATCCCCCACTACTTCATCAAGTCCTCCCATAACACATACCTGACAGGTCACACACACCGCACTGATTTTAACCCAAAAACTCTGATACGTTAATCATCTTAGGATCATTTATGGGTCGTTTCATTCTTTTCTTTCTGCATGTTTCTCTGCAGCTGGTCAGTTCTCGGGCGTGTCCTCCCCGGAAATGTACCGTCAATGTCTGCTGTCCGGCTGCCGCTGTCTGGAGCTGGACTGCTGGAAGGGCAAACCTCCAGATGAAGAGCCAATCATTACCCATGGTTTCACCATGACAACTGAGATCCTATTCAAGGTAGTACTCAGAAACATTTAAACTTTTTACATTGTGGTATTTTGGTTTCCTTTTATTCATTAGCCCTCTGCATCATGCACTAAAACAATGGAGAGTTTGACAAATATAAATTGATCATTTGTCTGAACAGATGGAACAAAATCTGCATTTTTATCTAACATGTTGATAGAATTTTTTTATTTGCTCAACTTGGTAGTAAACTTTAAACTTAAGAACTTCAGTTATGGATCTCAAAATCAAATAAAAAGCCAGAAAACTTTTTCAGATTTTTACAAGTAGCATAATATTTTTATTAATTAATACTCTATTACCCTCAATTTAGTTGTGACTGCCTCTCGTTGAATACACATCCTCTGTTGAACAATATACATTATACATTAGTGCCCAGTTTGATATGCTGTCTATCCTTTTTTCAGTTTTTGTTGTAGACTCCTCTGACCAATCATGCAAAATCCAGATTCTGACACTCAGAGGTTAATGATTTACAGATAAACCCCCTGTTGCAAATAATGCAGCTTTGAGAAGTATAAAAGGCATTAACTTATCCCAGAATGGGAAGAAGTAAAGACCATTGACACTACCTTTGGTGTGAGCTCAACCCCTCTCTGAGGAGTATTTCCCTGCAGTAGCCATTCGTCTTCGGCCTTTTCTAGTTAAGACCAACCCCAGTTCCCTGTGAACATAGTTAGCATTGTTCCAATAAACATCCGATGTTTGCATTCCAGAGGACCTTCATGCTGACCAAAGAGTGCAGGCGTTTGATGAGATGTGATATGAGAAGTCCGGGCACACATTTAACACACACACACCCCCACACGCACACACACACACACACACACACACACACACCCACATGCACACACACATTGTCACACACAGTCCCCCTCTCACACTCAACACTTCCATTTAAGGGCATCTGGAGCTCTGCAGTCACCGGGGCCAGCACACAACACCTCAGTTTATTTTACTGTCAGTACATGTGAGAGCTTAAGAGACGGCCTAACGCTTTGGAGTAAATATCAAGTTTATGATTTGTACCCATGGTTTTATAGTTTTCTACTGTATTGTCCCCTGCTCTTTTGACTGATGCAGCACCCCTAATCAAATAAAAGTCTATCAAATGCATATTAAACAAAAATGCATGTCTCTGTTTGTTGTGTAACAGGATGTAATTGAAGCCATTGCCGAGAGTGCCTTCAAGACCTCACAGTACCCGGTTATCCTCTCATTCGAGAACCACGTTGACTCGTAAGACCCGGCTTTTCCATCACCTCATTCTGAGTAATATTATAAGCACACTGTAATATTGTTCTGATGCCATTATCCCAAATGAAATATGGCTGGAACATATAGAGAATGTAATTGAATCTGTGTTCCTGTCAGTAAAGCACACAGTAACAGGTCTGCTTTGTCAAAGGGTGAAACAGCAGGAGAAGATGGCAGACTACTGCAAAACCATATTTGGTGATGCCCTGCAAACAGAGCCACTGGACAAATACCCTGTGAGTACACTGCTGCAACACAGCTAACTGAACAAAATCGTGCAGTTAGATGCAGTTTATTCATTAAGAAATTGTCCAACAGAACACTGATGACTAAATGTTCAACTGTGAGACTCTGCTCTGTTCTGCATCACTTTGCAGGAAATACGTAGAAACATAGTTTAATGTTTGTCCTCTTTCTTATCTCTATTGGACATGACCCTCATAGGCTCCTGTACACATGTAACTGGTTTATATCAGCAGTGACTGTCTGTTTACCTCCTCTCAGCTTTGTGCTGTGTGGAGTGCGCACATGTGTTTGTCCTTCTGAGGCAAAGAGAGGACGTGTTTACTGTCTCAACTTAAATCAGGGCTTCAGCAAGGACTTTTGAAAGGCTTAAATCAAGACAAAAACATTTCCAAAAAACCTAATCCACTCAAACTTGACAGAAACAAAAGTTTTGTTTTGTTTTGTTTCAAATCTTAATAGCCTCCACACACATACAAATACAATTTTACAGCAAAGAAAAATCAAGTCATTTTTGATCATTTCATTGACTTAATTAAAACAGGCAGTCTCATTATATGCTTGAGTTTTTAGATCTACTCCCTTCCAATGAGGCTCTCTGTTGTGCATTGCTTTATCTTAATTTTGACATACCAATAATAAGTCCATTCAATTCATAAATTCCGTCACTGACTCTTTAAAAAGCTTCCATGTATGTGATTGTACAGTAGCCTATAATGTTATTACCTTTCTTTATTTATTTCTTTATTCATTTTTATTCTACAGGGACATGCATATTAATAAACATTTCTGAAAATATTCCAGAGTTAGACAAAAGGCTAATTTTCATCCGTGGGCAGATTTTATAAAAGGCTCCCTAAAAAAAAAGAATAAATTCAAACCTTGCCAAAAGCTAAAAATAGAAATATCATGACAGTAATGAAGCAGGCAGGTAAGTAGCCACAGGTGAAAATACATAAACCATGCAGGACAAACAAGAGGCAGCACTTGTTGAATATTAAGAGAAAATACATAAAACATGCAGGATACACATAAAGCAGCATTTGGTTAATATTAAGAATGCATAAAACATGCAGGACAGATGTGGAGCAGCATTGAGCCGACATAACAATATGTAATTGAATATACTATCAAATATAATCAACTAGTTTGACATTTCCATCTTGTGAACTCAAAACCGTCTAGAGCTAGCATTTCATTTGCTTAGCCTAGCTTAAAGACAGGGAACACATGGTATCTGCTAGCTTGGCACCATTTTCTTTTAACATACTTTATGAACCCCCTGAGGGGAAATTCTGGTTTTACACTTGTTATTGAGAGACATGCTTCTCACACACATAATCCCGAATTACACACATGCACATACAGGACCTGTGGACGTGCATTAGTGGAGAGATGTCAGTGATGGGCTGCTACACATTGTGACACAGGGAGCGCACCAGAGCTGTCGGGGGTTTGGTGCCCTGCTCTAGGGCAACTAGACCAACTTTGATACTTTGGTCTACAACTGGACTGCAGAGAAAGAATTTATTCAGCTAGCTGTATCTCTGTGTTTCCAGTCAATGCACTAAGATATCCTGCTGCTGTCTGTGGCTACATATAAATCTCCAAAATATCATTTTATGCATTAAAATCCTGATTTTTCCAAAGACAAAACGTGTTTCCTGAATAGTACTTTTCTTACAGCCCTGTATGGGCTGGCTATGGCTATGTATTGTTTTGTCACAGTTGACCCCATGCTACTTTAGGGAGTCTTATTTTATGTTTTAAATTCAGCTAAAGCCAGGCCAGCAGATTCCCAGCCCATCTGAGCTCATGGGCAAGATCCTAATCAAAAACAAGAAGGGCAGCCATGCAAAGCCAGCCCAGAATAAGAAAACCAGCACAGCAGCTACTGACCAGACCACAGCCACAGCTGCACCCACTCAGGACCCAAACATCACCTCCACAGATCCTGCCAACCCAGCACCCAGCACCCAGGAGAACCAAGGTAGATTCGATAAACTACAAGCCAAATGAGGTTACCAACAGTTATACTTAGCTGTCACTGACATTATGTTTACATGCTTCACCAGAGGGGGACGCAGCTGTGGAGGACAACGAGGAGACGGAGGAGACAGACGAGCAGGATGAGGAAAAAATGAAGACATCGGATGAGGTAGAGTGAACGGCTGTGATGACAGTTTTATTACTGTACATCATGCGTGTCTGTCTAAAGCCATTCAAGTATCTGTCAACGTCCTGTCAATCCCCCACAGGGCACAGCTGGACAAGAAGTCACAGCATACGAGGCCATGTCATCTATTGTCAACTACATCCAGCCAAACAAGTTCATCTCTTTTGACAATGCCAGAAGTATGTGTCCATGAATTTAACTCAAAAATAGATTTTACACTATATACACCTTTAGAGAAATCACAGGTAAACAAATCAAAGTCAGTGTGAGTTGTGCAATTTTTCCTCCTACTTTATTCGTCCTTCACAGAGAAAAACAAGAGTTACGTCATATCATCTTTTGTGGAGACCAAAGGGGAGACAATGATTGCCAAGACCGCTGTTGAATTTGTCGAGTATCCTTTAAGAATGCTGGAGAGGGAGTCGAGCTCCAAATGATGTCTTAAATCTGCTTATTTTTGTTAACACTGTGATGAGGGTGTTGTAGGTCAAATGCAAACACAGAGATGCAAAATTGGGCTTCCTGAACCGTCTTTCTCAGATACAATAAAAGGCAGATGAGCAGGATTTACCCCAAAGGAACAAGAATGGACTCATCCAACTACAACCCTCAGCCATTTTGGAACGTCGGCTCCCAGATGGTGGCGCTAAACTACCAGACCATGGGTAGAAATGCAAACTCAAAGCACTAAAAAAACACTTTAAAATACATACATGTTGCTGCACACAAGAGAATGACAGGACTAGCTTTTTCTTTCTATTCACCTCTTCAATCTGATCTGTTGTTTTCTTTCCCACACATGAGGCTTCTGTTTTACACCACAGCAGGTCAGTGTTGCACCTCTTTGTGCAGCACAAGGCCCCTGCTCCACCATGAGCTGAAGAGAGGGGGCATGAATGGGTCTGTTTGTGTCTATTTTTTTAGATTTCCCCATGCAGCTGAACATGGCTCTGTTTGAGTTCAATGGCAGAACAGGATACATCCTCAAGCATGATGTGCTGCGGCGAAGTGACAAAAAGTTTGATCCTTTTTGTGACAGGATCGACACAGTGGTGGCGAGCACACTGACAATAAAGGCAGGTTCATGGTCTTATCATGATTATGTTTTTCTCACAGAATCCATGCAGACTAAATACTAAACAGTGTAATGGTGAAATGTCTTTTAAACCATTAAGTTGCATCATTAATGATATTGCATAGGAGGGAAATCGTTGAGCAAAAATTAATCAAAGCTGTTTTTGCGATTAAGTAAATCATTGAATAAGCCCCAGTAACCTTTGGGAGCTTGTGTATGTGCAGCCGTGCTTGCTTGCTTTTAGAGTCTATAATAACTTAGGCGTACAGCTGAGACTGACACATAATTCCTGGTATTCATCTGACTCTGCATGAGTGAAAATCTCAGTTCTATTTATATTCTTTTTGTCCAGAACATGCATCCATGCACAACAGGACACTTCCACATCCATTTTGATTATCACTTCATACATTATGTGTCATAAAATCCTATTCACTTGTGTCCATAGATCTATTCAGGTCAGTTTTTGTCTGACAAGAATGTGAAAACTGGAGTGGAGGTAGAGGTGATCGGACTGCCAGGAGACCCCAAGAAGAAATATCGCACCAAGTGGTCCACCACACCCAACGCCATTAACCCCGTGTGGAACGAGGAGCCTTTTGTTTTTGACAAGGTGTGATAAACATGAAAACATATGCCCAAATACACATGTTTAGGCCAGTCTGTTGTTACTGTTCTTTATAATGTATTTGTTGTTGTTATGCGGATAGATTCTGCTCCCAGAAATGGCCTCTCTAAGAATTGTAGTTCACGAAGAAAATGGTAAATTCTTGGGACACAGGATCATCCCACTTGATGCCATCCAATCAGGTCAGTGAAGCTTGGGGGGGGGGGGGAGACATGCTTCATCTTATCTACATAATTCAAACACCTCTGAGTCATCCAAGGCCTCTGAATGTTTGCGAACTTGTTTGTGCCACTTTCACTGGGGTTTGTTTTCTGCCCTGCAGGTTTCCATCACATCTGCCTGCGCAGTGAGAGCAACATGCCGCTCACTCTGCCTGCTCTGTTTGTCTTCATCGAGGTCAAGGACTATATCCCTGCTGCCTTTGCAGGTGCTTGGCTTTTTTTCACTTTCTGATTTTTGGAAAAGAAAAATCAGAGGACAAGGCTGGTTCAGTTTGAAACTTTGTTGCTCGGTAACATTTCATTTGCATAAAGAGTAATTCGCTTTTCATGCTATCCCAGATTTCACAGATGCTTTATTCAACCCGACAAAGGGCACAGAAAAGACCACAAAGACCCCAAAGGAGGTAAAAGCTACTGATACTAAAACTGCCTTTATATACTAAAATATATATAATTTTCCTTAAATCCTTAATAGCACTAATTAACTTCCTGGAAAACCCCTGATGTTGTTGTTGTAGACTGTGATGTTCCTGTTCTTTCTGTGCTCACACAGTCATCCTCGGACTACATTTCTCCCTACGAGATGCCTCTTGTGGCCCAAACCGCTGCAGTCATGGCCCAGGAAAGTGAAGCCCCAGTTGCAGGTAATGAAGCTCAAAATGGGAAACAGTTCAGAGTTTATTTTTGTAGGATGCAGTGTCTAAATATGGCTCTTATCTTGCTGATTTAAGAGGTCAAACTTCCCCTCTCTCCCCAGAAAAACCAGAATCTGAACCTGCACTACAGGTTGATGCCAGTGAGCAATCACCAAAGTCTCCAACGGATCCTCCTCAAACTCCTGAGGAGGCCCCTGTTGAGGATCCAGCCCCGGATGCAGAAACCCTTCCTGAAGCTGTTCCATCCTCTGAAGAGCCAGCTGCTGTAGAACCAACCCCTGAGGAAAAAGCCCCTGAAGATCCAGCCCCTGAAGAGCCGGCACCTGAAGAGCCGGCACCTGAGGAGGAACCCGCTCCAGAGCCAGAGGAAGCTCCTGAAACTAAGGAGGAGCCTGGGACTGAGTCCACTACAAAGCAGATCCACAAGACACAGAAGCTGCTGATGAACCTGCTGCTGTGGTCCTGCCTGTTCCAGCAGCAGTTGCATCGCCTGAGTCCTTAGTATCAAATGAGTCACCTCAGCCGCCCACGTCTAGTGAAGGTACCTTTGAAGTGACATTGTAGAGAAGGATCCAATCAGGAAACATGCAGACCAGTGAAGAGATTTTTTCAGTTGCACAGAAGGGTTATAAATGAATATCCACTCCAATAGCAGAAGTTGTAATAACAAAGCCCTGTGTGTTTTTGCTGCAGAGCCTTCGACTGTTCCCACCGAAGAACTGACACAGCACAAGAACTACCTGAAGGTCGTCAAGCGTCAGGAGAGAGAGATGAAGGAAGCAGAAAAGAAGTATCAGAAAAAAGGAGAGGACCTGATTCAGAAATATTCTGACTCCTTCAAGGCCATGAAGAAGAAGGCCTCATTGAAGAAAAAGGAGTAAGGAGCAACATTTTTGTTTCCCATGGTCATTTTCAAGATTTTATTCTGTTATTATATTTTAGGAGAAATAAATAACTGACAAAAGACTTCAGATTGTGTTGGCGGAGGAAGGAGTGTCATGTAATAAATTCAGAGTAGTAGTATCCATCTGTCCAACGGTTTATGTTCAGTCAGTCACCAAAAACAATGCCTGTGAATGCTACAGAATATTAATACTGACCTACTAATGAAGATGTTATTGTTTTGGCCAGTATTAGAAATATTTAATTCATAAGCATGGAAAATACTCTACTCACATGATTAATGTGCTGATGCAGAGTAAGAGAGGATGAAGGGAACAGCTAAATGGATACGTGCTGCAGTCTTTTTTTTTTTTTACAAAACCCACTGCACAAAGCCTTCAGACAAAACATGTCGTTCAGTGACAGAAGAGAAATTCTGCAAAGACTTTCTAATACCCACAGGGTTGTTCAGTGAAATCTTAAAGAGAGAGTGTCTGTTCAACTTGATAAACTCAATTTCTTCTTCTATGTGTCTGTTGCATGATGGTATGTTTCCTTAAGGGGAGAAAAGGACTCCTCTGACTCCAGCCTGAAGACGGAGCGGGTGCAGGAGCAGAAGGACAAAATGTATGTCGAGCTGCAGGATTTGTGGACGGAGCAGTGCGACCAGCTGAAGAAGAAGAAAGAGCAGTGTGCTACAGAGGTTAGCAAAATACAAGTTTCAGTTTTACACTTGGGGTTGACTCATTCAAAAGCTAAGCATGATAAAATGTGGGTAATGTGGCCAGAAACATCCTTACACAAACTAACGCTGACAATTTCTAATGGTTAGGGTCAGCATGTCAAAATGCTTTTTTTATACTTAATTTACATAAAGTCACTTGAACTGATTCTGATGATAAAAAAACAACCAAAAAACGACTTGGACAGTTCAACGAAGAAGTAATGTAATGGCGAGGATGAGAGTCAGATTTGAAGGTGAGTTTTTAAGGATTTCTTGAAGTAAGTGTGGGGGAGTCTTGTATGTTTTTATGGGAGAAGTTAAATGTTGAAACTGACAAAAGGAATTAGCAGCCCCATCCGCCTCTCCCCTCTTAAACTCATCAAACTTGTCTACTTGTAGGTTGGGCTCATTGATTATCTGTTTGGACCATAGCTTTACTCTTTTGGTTCACTGTCCCTACGCTCATCCTTTCCAATGCAGAAGGAAGCCATTTTTAACAACAACAACAACAACAACAACAACAACAACAAAAAAAGGGCCCCAAAAGCCCCACTGTAAACTTCCTGATCAACAACAAGTAGAGCAACCAGCCGGTGATCACAGTTGAGAATTTAAGAGCTTTAAACAGAAATATTCTTCAGGGGTTGGTTGTGGCTTAATGGGAGGGAATGTTTGGTTTATATTCACAATGTGACAACTAACATGAGTCCAAATTAATGATTATTTTTGCTCTATAATTTCTAGATGTGTAGCTGGCTAACAGTTTGCCAACAAGTTCACATTATCACAGGAGTATTGTGCTCCAATAATATTCCTGCTGCACTCAATATGGCCATTATTTGAAATACCGTGCTTAATTCTGCTATCCCTACGATATAAATGCATCACCGGTTCAGGTGTATATCATTAAACATGGCTTTGAAGTATATAAAAATGTACACATTGTCACAGTAAGATAAGATCTGCTTATTGTCTTCCTGTAACCTTTTCTCTGTTGCTCTGCATCAAACCGCTATTTTCTTCTAATATCTACTATTTACATTTACTCTTTATTACATACAATGCTACCAAAACAAAAGTATCAACTGTCACGGCCCAGGATGCGTTTACATCTCTCTTGGCACCTGACTTTCCTTGTCTGTGCTGTGTGTTCGGGACCACGGGCGAGCAGCCAGCGCTTTAGAGTCTCTATTGATTAAACAGCAGACCCAGGGGCTCGGGGGTACTCTTAGCATAAGCTCTGAATCTGCTTTAGATGGAGGGGCCAATCAGGTAATTATTCAAGGGTTGCTGCACTAGTCAGAACGTACTGTTCAGGTGCTGAGGAGTGAGGTGAGAGGTAACATCGAGCTTGGCGGTCTAGTGCCATTACTAAAGTTCATGCAAAGTAGCAACTTTTTTTTCTAGCTTAATGAAAAATAGACTTTAATTACTCCCATGATGGACTTTATTAAGAGTTACTCAGGTCTTGTTTCCAAGCTTCAGTCTGCCAGTGAACGTGTTACTTCCTCCTTCTATTGTGACAGAGACTGGCCAAACTGTTGGAGCTGGCAACAGAGAGACACACCGCTGAGCTGAAGACCCTGGAGAGGTGAGAGCACACATACAACACATTTGGGACATGCTGTACACCCTGAGAGATGGACTCAAGCTTTTACTGACTCTATGCAGTCTGTGCCTTGAGATTTTGGTGCAACACTGTTTGATGTTTGTGTGTGTGTGTGTGTGTGTGTGTGTGTGTGTGTGTGTGTGTGTGTGTGTGTGTATGTCATCCAAGGTGAGACATTTGACATTTTGGAAAGACAATACCTCAAATAAATGAATGAATCACCTCAATGTGCGGGTTCTCTGATGTCCTTAACTGGCTTTCGGTGTTCTGGATGTGAATGTTTGTGTACCTGTGTGTGTGTGTGTGTGTGTGTGTGTGTGTGTGTGTGTGTGTGTGTGTGTGTGTGTGTGTGTGTGTGTGTGTGTGTGTGTGTGTGTGTGTGTGTGTGTGTGTGTGTGTGTGTGTGTGAGTGTGTGTGTGTTGCCAATGGGTTTGTTATCCCTGGTTCCCAGCTGGCAGATGGTTAACTCAGGACAGCCATTATCCAACAGGTGTTTAAACAGCAGTAGGGAAGCAAAGGTAGCTTTGGTCATCTACCTGTCCACACAGACATGTTAACATCTTACTGAAACTGCGAATAAATGTCAGAAACCACGTCATCGCCCTGTGACTTTTGATTATTTTTTTACATTTTCAATCAAGCAGGAGTCCTTAGTTTCTTGTCTTTGCCCTGTTTCACAGCGAATCCAAAGAAAACAAGAAGAAATCGATCTCAAAATGTTCCTCCTCAGAGAAAGCAAAGTGAGTGTACAGTGTGACCTTCAGGTACTTTGAGTGTTTCCTTTCATTGCTGTTCCTCTCACAGAGTCTCAGCTTCTCCTCCTGTATTAATAAGAAAAAGAAAAATTCAAGTGATAAGGAGCTCATTCTCCTCTGTCACGTGGAATTGCACATTAGTGATGTCTAGATATGTTGTATTTTTGACCATTAAGTACGAGAGTTTCTCATAAAAAATTATACTTGTCTTTTTCTAAGGCTGAAAAAGACAATGAGCACAGAGCTGCTGGATGAAACAAGTCAGTCTGATGCTTCTGTAAGTAATCTTTTTAACTTGTTATAAGTAGAAAACGTAAAGACTTTTTGGGGATTACCAAAATTTCAATATTTTGACATTTTTTGTATACGACTGTTAGATAAGATTCATACCTCTGTTATACCTCTTTGGAAAGTATTGACATGGAGCTTACAGCTGGTTAGCTTAGCTTAGCATAAATAACAGAATTAAGTAGAGAAAACTAAGCTGAAAGTCACAAAAATGTTAAGAAAATCCTCACAACATGCCCTAAGCTGCCAAACATCCTGTTTATAAGTATTTAAGCTCATCTAAGCTTACCAGCCAATGACCTTGTCTTTAACAAACAGATGTGTGTGGTATCAATATTCTCATTTAAACCTTGACAATGGGACAAGAAAACTCACTTCTAAGGATTTCACACAATTCTTTAAAAAATTAAATAATTCATATAGAGAGCCCCACCTAGTTTTAACGAAATCTTCAGTTAAATGAAAGATAAATCTCTGCGTTTTACGTCGTCATGCCTGTTCCTACATCAATACTAATGTCTCAGAATACACAAACCATTCACATAGTCAGTTCACCACACATTGTATTCAGCAGTGTTACTATGGTTACAAAGAGGTGTCTTGTGATGGAAAAAAAAAGGAAAAAAAATATCAGACATGTCAAAAATTCCTTTCATACATCTGCACGCATGTTCACACACTCCCTCGTGCCGATCACAGACACACACTAACACGTGAGCACACTTACCTGTTCACTCTCAACACACACACACACACACACACACACACACACACACGAACAAAAAACAGACTCACACACACTTACACGGTGAGTAAAGTGAAGCAGGCCCTGAGCATAGGCCAGGCCTGTCCATTACTCAGAAGCTGTTTACAGAGAGAAGGCTAATTCATGTGCAGTCGATGACTCACTGAGCTCTTCCCCCATTCCACTCATCAACATTCAGACCTGCTGTATCTGGGTTAAAGACCTGACTATTTCACTGTCTACTCCTCTCCCATCGACCCAACAGGCTGCCCTCATCCAGCCATACATTATGGTTGCATTGCAGCTAATTCTTCTCTCCTTAATCAGCATTTCCCATTAATTACTGCAACTATTAATGCCACAGTCACCTTTTTTAAATCAGCACGGCCTCTGTATTGAATCACCAAGTGCTATAAGGGCTGTGTAATCAAATTGGACAAGCCTGACCTGTTGTAGCTTCAAATGTATTGATTCTCTTGCTCCGGTTGCATCCCACGGGTGCTCTCCGATATACACACACATACACTCAGAGGGAGGAACATGAGCAGATGAACTGCTCATAGACATGCTTATAGACACCAGTCTTTATCTCTCACTTGATACCACATGTACATACACAAACAGACTTACACAAGCTCCTACCACAGATCGATGATGTGTTCATCTGCAGTAACATGATGTATTGTGCTTTTTTTTGTATTGTTACAGTCTTCAAATAACAGCCCGCAGCAAGAGGCTCTGATGAAGAAACAAGCTGTTACACTGGAGGAGATCAAGACCCTGACCAATCAGGTACATTCACTGACACCAGGGTACATTTTTATCACTGAAGTGGACTTTGCAATGACTCAACTCAAATACTAAACGTGGGCAATCTATTCAAGATTAGCACTCTTACTATGCAGTGTAGATTATATGTACATAGATGAAAATGTATGAGAAAAAAGTTTCAATTCTAATCCAAAACCAAACACATTTAAATGTTGTAATTTATGTTTTGATAAACTTTCTTGATTGGTTTGAATTTTGTATTGGCCAATGTAAACGCAGTTGAGGGTTGTGCAGGTCTGATTATTAACATTCTCAGGTGACCGCTCTGTAATAATGTAGCACGAGCTAATGCTACAGACTTATATGGTTATCTCAGCTAATGTTCCTGTTCTGATCCTGACTATATGATGTAAAAAATGATGTTTTGATAATGGTCTAAACAGCAACATTTTCAAAATTGTAGTCCCACATTCGTTTTTGTCTTTTCAATGCATCTGAAGATGGAGGAAAAGCAAATGAAATGCAATAATCAGTTCTGTAACTCTAATTTTTGGTAGCTGTCGACAAGAATACTTCCCACTGAGCGAGGGTTTGCTGCCTGAACCTATCCAACAGTGAATAAATTGGATCCCTCATTCTTTGTACAGATTGTAGATTCCTAAAAAAAACTTGATCCCCTGGAAAACACACACAAACAATTCCTAATAGGTAGACCTCTAGACAACTGGTTCCCAACCAGAGGTTGTCATATTAGGTTTACACACATAAAATCATGTTTAAACATAACTGGAAAATGTTTGCAAAATGTCTTTTGGTAAGAACAGGTGTGTATGCATATTCTGATTAGGATTTTATCAATGAAAACTATTTAAAAAAACAATATAACACTTACACAACAAAAGGTTGGGAACCACTGCTCAAGACTCATACTGGCATTAAACATAACCCCCAACCCTTAACCTGACCTTAAACAATACTTAACCCCTTCAATGTGACCATAGTGCTAATGAGCATTTTGTTCTTTTTTTAAATCCCAAACACATTGACTCACTTCCTCAATGGAATATCCCCATAATATGATGAATACATGATTAATACAAGAACTTGCACTGTGCATAGTCACAAATCTGCAATCCAAACCACTGCAATGAAATATCCAATTGCGTTGATACATTTGACACATTGGCCATCTGTCTATCAGTGCTTTGTACGTAATATTGAAGAATGACACACAGACTGAGAAATGACAGACCACTCTCCCACCGCTGTAAATGACGTCAGAGCTCTTTTATGACAATGCTTGGCTTTGACTTGGAGAAATCTTGGCAGTTTTTTTTGAGAAAAAGAGGTGTTATATGGATAAGACATTGACGCTTGAAGGCCAGATGGATGTTGTGTTTTTATGTCTCATCAATAGTATTAGCTTACAAATACTGTGTCTGATATTGAGGGAAGCAGTGGGAGGAATTCAAGTGAGTGTAGTAAGAGAATGACGGACAAATGAGTTATATGTATCTCACATCATTGGTTGAGCCATTTTCCTAAGTACATCTAAATATCCTAAAAAAAAAAATCCCCATCACTCTTAATTCAAATCAATCCATGCCACTGGGTTCAAGCCAGTTGAGCTTTATTTGTACTGGTGCCAGGACAAAAATCCATTCCTCAAAGATCACGATAAGCATCTGGCTGAGAAAAGAAGAAGCTATAAAAACTTCAATGTCAAAGCTGTAACCTTCAACTAATCTTTGGCCTCTGTGTCTGCAGCTCAATCAGGAAGCCCTGAAGGAGCAAGCTCAGAAAATGAGGTCTATTCCAGCTGAGGTGAGGGAGGCCGTTAACGTCTGTGTGGGGGCCCACTTTCCTGAACTGGTCGACCAGTCAGACGGCAAGAAGGTGGAGGGGGTCGGCTTCTATGGGGATGTCTTCCTGGGTTAGATGTGCAGTCTGTTCCCTGACCCATGACTGTAACCTTGTCCTTACTGAATATACGCTCTGAATGTAATTGTAGAAGAAGATTTGGTTAGGGAAGCTCTGTGTGAAATTTCAATTTAGAGCTGCTATTCAGACAGCTTTTTTTTAGGTAGTTTTAAGTCATAATAATGTTTTCATGGATGTCCTTCAGACCAAAAGTTTGATGATTTTGAAATGATTTTTCCTACTCTATTTTCCTCTTTCTTTTTGTTCCTTTTCACCACTGATAAGTGCCCCAATACAGCGACAAATATCCTCTAGACCATCACTGAAAGCTTTCGCTTGGTACTCTTCTTTGTGCTCTCAAAATGAGTGCAAAACTGGGACAAAAATAAAATGTAGCAGCAAAAACGGGTAATCGGAGTCTGCAGAGTCCATCTGTCAGACTTCAGTTCAGTGTGAGCGACACTCCATAGAGCCACAACAAGGCACTCACTCTCAGATTTAGTTGTGAAGTAAAAGAGGTTAACCTACACAACAAGTGCAATCAATATCTGTTGGTGATGTGATGATGGAAATGCAGACAGGAAGCACGGATGCAAGAAGTAGTTTTTTTGATTTTGTCCTGTGTGAAAGTTCACAATAAACTGTTTCTTTCCCCGTATGTGTGTTTTCGTCCTTTCTTTACATACAGATTTACTGAATACATTTACATTCTACGTTAAGTAGTAGAAATATCATGTTCATTTGGGACATAATGATTTCTTTTTTTTTTAAACTTCTGTTTGCTGCTAAAATATAATTTCAGCACACTATCAATGTTGTTCATTATCTTATATATTATATTTTACTGGCTAAGATATATACAGTGCCTATTAATTAATCCCACGAGGAGAAATTCATTTTACACTCTATTGTTGATCATGCCACACACACATAGGCCGAGGGGTGTCAGGTAGGTGGGAGTTCGATGCCTTGCTCAATGGAAGCTCAGCAATGCTCAGAAAGGGCTGAGATTTGGTCCGCACAGGGACTTGAACCGGCAGCGCTTTGGTTCCCTCTCCCTACAGACTGAGCCCCAGGTCCCCACTGACAGTTATTCAGGGTAAAGACACCTGTGAAAAGAGAATGATCAGCAACCTGGATACAGTTTTTAAGTGCCTCAGCATTCCATTTTCTTGTAGAGTACTCCCACAGTTTATCCAGGTGTGAAACCAGGACATGACATGTACATGCACGAACTATAGCTTGGATACCTTTGCATGTAATGTGCACTCTTTAGATAATGCCCTGTCCAAACTCAATCTCAGTTTCCCACATCCACATCTGCGATTCTGCCCTAAAGTGTAATTTCAGTGTTAGCTGCTTGGCCTTACTTCATAGCACTGCAAATTAGAAAGAGGAAGCTGTTCTTTCACTTCTACTTCCTGCTGGTGAAAGGATCAAACTGTTTTCTTCTTTTCGGGAGTTGCTTTTCTAACCTTTAAATCAGTAAGTTTGTTACCTTCCAACTGTGCATTATGTACATTTTCAGAACAAAAATGGTAGTGCTAATGACTGAAATGTAGAAAATTACCCTAAATGTAAACCCGTATATTTACAAAAGAGTGATTGCCCCGGCTTAGACTGATTCATGTGTATAAAAGACTTCACAGGTTGATGAAGAAATATACAGTTTGAGATTTACTTTATTGATCACCGCAAGGGGAAATTTCTGTTTTTACACTCTGTAAGTCATGCAACACACACACAGGCTGAAATATACACACACATGCACAAACAGGATCCTATGGACATGCACTAATGGAGAGAAGCCAGAGTGAGGGTGGGGCAGGGGGAATCAGTGTTTGCTGACGGGCACCTCGGCAGGGCTCAGGAAGTGATCTGGCAGCTCTACAGCTATCAGACCAACTTCTGGATTTGGTCCGCACTGGGACTTGAACCGGTGACCCTCCAGTTCACAGCCTAAATCCCTACAGACTGAGTTAGCGGGGGTGGCAGTATTATCATGATAGCTATTATACCTCTTTTTTTTCCAAGTATATTTGCAACCAAATAGCAAAAAAAAAGCATAGTCGAGACATTTCTGCAATCTGTTACTAGACTGTGGAGTCCAGTGGTACAAGCAGAGGTGAAACGTGACTGCAAAGTTGGAGCTCTACTCTCTCTCTCTCTCTCTCTCTCTCTCTCTCTCTCTCTCTCTCTCTCTCTCTAGGCTTGCCTCTGAGCTCTTCACTGTCCATTATGGCCGTTGACTGATTCATAATAAAATACAATTGCAGTGTCTTCCTCGCCATCTAATACAAGTTCTGGGATGGATCAACAGTCACAATAGTGTCACGTGGGCTGAAGAGAATGCAGGTCATTTGAATGACAAACTAAAAAAACGTTTGAATCATTTCAGCTACAGTATGGTTCAGGAGCCTGGGACAATCTGTCGCATTCATCAGAGAGCCGTGTTTACTTTAGTTCAAATACACGTGCATGCATTCATTAATGAACACGGCTTCTCTCTGACTCATCTTTCAATGCAATCTGTCCATTTCTCTATAATTTTATTTTCTGTATTACATGAATGACATTTAAAGCTGAGGATCTGGAACAAGCCACGTCTAGAAGACACAGCCTGTGCCTGAGAGTCCTGCCACCTCATGCACAACACTGATGAACTGCGAGCTAAAGAGTGTGAATCCAGTCAGCTTTGAATCACCGGACTGATAATCTTACATAAGATGAAGTGAACTCCAACAGATCGCTCTCATCATGCCAGCTGGAAGGGGAAGGCCTGTGCTGGAGCTTTAACTGAAAGATGACACGTGTAGTGAATCAACGATAGAATACCTAAAAGAAAAGCCTTCTACTCGGGTCCGGCCTGAGTACTACAACACTGACAGGGATGAATAAATCTACCGTCAGATTGTTGCTTTTTGTCCGGCTTCTTGCTCTGAAACTTCCTCTTTCTCTTCTTAACTTCATCTGTCATTTTCCTTTCCCGTCTTTTAGACTCAGCCATTGAATCAAACAGAACAGAGACAGGTTGACTGGCTTCTTTTCAGCTGAAGGTTGATGTGTGATTTAGAGCTTTAAAGCCATTCTCCCCTCTCAAAAAAGAACTGCGGCCTGCTGCCAAAGTACAGACAGAATTTTACCTATAGGGGTTTAAATCCACATCATCATGTCAAAAAAGCCGTCGTCTTCAAAGAGGATCACAATTTAATTTTGCATGAAAACAGGTAACATAAGCGGATCAGTGCAGTCCTGCTGAATCTTGGCAGCGATTGCAAAGGCAATTGTATCCTCTTTCTTTTGGAGAGTGAGTTTCAGGAAGACTATTATTATTACTAGTAATTCAAAAATGACCCAGTGCAATTTAATCTTGCTTTTTTTCATATTGTCCGAGAACATTGTGCAAGATTGAGTCTTTAAGACACCATTAGCAGAGAATAGATATTTTTGTTCAGATGGGAGAAAAGAACGAGGATGAGAGATGTGAATATATTCACTCCCCTAGTTGTTTCCTGTTTGAGGAAGCCGACCTGACCCACATGAGGTGGAGAGTCATGATCTATAGTTCATCTTGACTCCAAGTGGATGCCATCCTGGATGGATATTAAGCACCAACACCACCCACACACACACACACACACACACACACACACACACACACACACACACACACACCACCTGCTGAGGATTCTCTGTCACAGGATTCATGTGTGTGTGTGTGTTGGTGTAGGTGTTGGATCCTTGTGTGGGCTGCACACTGCATTTATACTGCTTAAAGACAGAAAAAAAATCTTCTTTTTTTTGACCAGAGACAAGATTGGAATAAAAATATTCACTTCTTTAAAACTGATTTACATGCATGCTTTCATCAGACAGCGGGAAGTTGCTTTATATTCAAGGATACATTACATAATCCCATTGAAATCTCACTTATGGTATTGGTATGAGCAGCCTAATAGGTATTGCAGAGGACTCATCTCCCTGCAGTCAGTCACCCTCTCCTGGGTGTCACATGAGCCACTTCAGGCCTGTGAAAGGCTCGTCCACCTTCTCTCTGATGCAAATTTTTAATGTCCTACATGTGTTGAGGATGCAGTGCTTTGATTTAGAGAAATATAAAGACGCAAATAATTCAAACACAAACATGCACACATAAAGACACCCACAGCGCCAAAATGCTCTGTCCATCATGGCTAATTGAATTCTGATGTTTGAATTTTCCCTGACAGTTTAGAGCTAAAACATGACATCAGGCCCAGGATTCATTTGGCTGTGGCTCTTTGTACCATTTGGAGACATATTCTCCCAATGATATCGCCATTACCTCTCTGCGTTGTGATCATGTGTCTCACAGTGAGTTCAGAGGACTGACACCCTGCATGGCTAAACTGTAATGTAGTTTTAATGATACCTGATTTGAACTGCAAATGAATCAACAAAATGATCTACATAGTCCACTTATCTTATCATGGTATGAGTGAGGTGAAATGTTATTGAATTGAATCAGTAAATAACAGATTGACTCTGAATCAATTATATTAAAAAGTGATAGTCTAATCAAATTGAATTGGCTCTGCTGGTAATCTACAGTGATATGATTTGCAAACAACATGCATCTAAACGTTTCAAGACTACTAACCAAGTTGTTCATTCTGCGTCTGCAGCGGCAGATGAATGTGAATGAATGGGATTAGTTACTTCTGATGGTCACTTTACATAGCAACCTTCTGCATCACTGTTTGACCTGCAGTGTAAAAGCGCTTTGATTAGTCAGAAGACTAGAAAAGTGCTATACAAGCTCATGTCCATTTACCATTTACCTTTATTGAACATATTGGATGTCACAATGCAGATGCAATGAGGAGAGATACTTGGGAATCAGATATAAAGAAGCTGAAATTGTTACAGCTTTACAGTGTGAGCTGCTACAGTATGAAACTTCAATTTAAACTCACATTAAATGACAGCTCTGTAACATGAACCTTCCATTGTCAAGCTCAACATGATTTCAAACATCATATCACAGAGTGAAGGTGGAACAAGTGAAGTAAGAAGTCATTAGTGAGTGGGGAATTTGATGCAAATACTGTCAAAGCATTATCAGTCACTCTGCTGTATTTTCAGCTGCTCACCTTTGAAATTCTTGAGTCCAGTGGCTTTTCAAAATGGTTTGAAATTGTCTTGTAGATGGTGCACTGGACACCCATTTTATAGCTACAGTGTCACTTCAATCACTCCTAATTCATCAGTTCATTTACCCACCTCTTTTATTCATGTTTTCTCCTGCAGGCAGAATTGTTGGATGTAGAAAGGTTGTGCGCTGCATTAACACCAAGATAGCCATGACAACATGCATTTTATGTTATGTACTTAAGGCAGGTGAGTCACAAAGTGCCTCCTTTGGAAGCAGTGGCAGTCTTAACGGGGGATTGTTTGATGAGAATCTTTTTTTTTTTTTTCTTTCTCTTAGCCACATTTACTGTACATTGCACTAAGCTGGAAAAAGAGCCAGAACGAGCAGCCATTTAGGTGAGCGCTGAACAACGTGAGTGGCAGAGCATGTGGTGAGAGAGAATGAGTAGTCGTGGGCTTCTGAGGCCATCAGTTCATTTTAAAAATTGAAGCTCCTACAGGGAACATAGAGGGTTGCCAATTC